AATGTTCCAGATTGGAAAAAACAGCGAACATTGTAAGAGAGTTTACCTAAGTTAGACATAATGGGACTGAGCGAAGTGAGATGGACAGGCTTTGGTGAACTTAAGACAACCTCTGGAGAGACCATCTTGTACTCCGGGGCTGAAGAGCATCATAGAGGAGTAGGACTTATACTTAGCAGGAAAAGCCGAAAAAGCTTGATGGAATAGAACCCCGTTAATGACAGAATCATCAGCGCACGCCTTTTCTCCCGCTTTGCTAAGCTAACAATAATACAATTATACAGCCCAACAAACGAAGCAAACGAAGCGGATAAAGACACCTTCTATGAACAGCTTCAAAGAGAGATTGCAAAAGTGCCAAAACATGATATACTGATGGTAATGGGTGATGCAAATGCAAAAGTGGGAAAGTCGAATGAAGGATGGAAAAGAGTCATGGGACAATGGGACAAGAGGGCATTGGGATTGTGAATGAAAACGGCATGAGGTTAGCAGAAATGTGTGCTCTTAATAACTTAATCATCTGTGGAACCCTCTTTAAGCACCTCGACATACACAAGCTTACATGGGAGTCACCTAATGGTAGAGATAGGAACCAAATGACCATGTAATGGTGAACGGCAGATACAAGAAGTCTGTATTTGATGAAAGAGTTATGCGAGGTGCAGATGCCAATTCAGATCACCATCTAGTACTGGCTAAAGTAAAGATGAAGCTCTGCAGAAACTTAAAGCCAAAGGAAAGCAACAGGTAGATGTATGATGTCAACAAGCTGAAAGATCCAAAGATAAGCAAAGGATTCCAACTTGAACTACGGAATAGGATTCAGCAACTGGTCGATGACGAAAACACAATTAATAAAAAATGGACTCTTGTAAAAGAAGCATATAATGAAACAGAAAAAAGATCCTGGGCCAGAAGAAAAGGAAGAACAAAGACTGGCTAACTGCAGAAACTTACAAAGCCATAGATGAAAGGAGAAAACTAAAGGAAGAAATAGGAAGATCAAATTCGGAGAGAATGAAGGAAATTAAGACAGAAGAATATAAGACCAAAGACAAGTGAAAAGAAGAGCAAGAGCTGATAAAAGGAAAAATCTGGAAGATGTAGCTAACCAAGCAGAGAATGCAGCAAATACAAACCGTCAAAGCAGCTTTGTGGGAGAAAAAGGAGCAGGACAAGTGGCATAAGGTCCAAGAATGGTGAACTAATCATTGAGGATGGAAAAATATTGGAGAAATGGAAAGAGCATATTTTGCAGAGGTCCTTAATGTCCCAACAGAAACAACAGATTTACCCAAAGGATGCACCACCCAAGAGAATGAAATTGAAGAAATTGACACAACACCAGTTACAGAGGAGGAGGTTAAAAAGGCAATAATAAAAAAAGAAGAATGGAAAGAGTCCTGGCATAGATAGCATCAATACATAGCTACTAAATGAGAGCGTATCATATTCAACACCAGAGCTCACAAATTTATTCAACAGAATCATCAGTGAGCAAGAAATACCAACAGACTGGAAGAGATCGCTCATTGTCAAAATACGTAAGAAAGGGGATCTGACAATATGTGACAACTATAGAGGAATATCACTACTATCAGTGCTATCTAAAGTATTTTGCAGAATAGTGATCGACAGAATTAGAGATGGACTAGAGGACAGATTAAGACCAGAGCAAGCTGCATATCGAAGAGGAAGAGGAACATCAGAACAGATTTACATTCTGAGAAATATTTTAGAACAGTCTATAGAGTGGCAAGCATCACTGTACATAAGTTTCATAGATTTTAAAAAAGCCTTTGACAGCATAATAAGAGAGAAACTGTGGGACATACTAAGGCAGTATGAAATTCCGTGTGTGTACGTGGATATCATCAAGAAAGTATTCGATGGAAGTTCTAGTTGTGTCATAGAGAATGGAAGAACAACAGACTGGTTCAAAGTACAGACAGGAGTGAGACAAGGTTGTGTTATGTCTGGATTCTTGTTCATCATTGTGGTAGACTGGATAATGAGAAATACCAACAATAAGAAGAGAGGCATACGTTGGAAATTTATGTCCACTTTAGAAGACCTGAATTATGCAGACGACCTTGCACTTATTTCCAGCAAACACAGCGACATGCAGGAGAAAACCAGGAGATTACATGCTGAATATACAGGCCTAAAAATTAACGTCGATAAAACAAAAAGCATGAGAATAAATGTGAAGAAGAAGGATGCCATCAGGTTGAATGATAAAGAAATAGAAGAGGTCGAAACATTTCTCTACCTGGGTGCCACAATAGACAAGACCGGAGGAACCGAGGCAGATATTGGGAGAAGGCTAGGCTTATCCATGACCGCCTTTGCATCCCTTGCCAAGGTATGGAAGTCAGCACAATACAACACAAAGACCAAACTTAAGATCTTCAACACCAACGTTCTATCTGTGTCGCTGTATTGTGCTGAGCTATGGATAACAACAGAAAAAGATAACGAAAAGCTTGATACATTCCACCAAAAATGCCTTAGGAGGATCCTTAAAATACACTGGCCTGAAAAGATAACTAACCAACAACTATATGAAAGAACAAGATCCATACCTCTATCAAGCACTATCAAAAGAAAAAGATGGAGATGGATAGGCCTTATCCTCCGAAGGGAAGAGAACTCGCATGGTAGAACAGCTCTCACATGGGCCCCTGAGGGAAAGAGACAAAGAGGACGGCCAAAGAACACCCTGTTGAGAGAGAAAGAAAGAGAAGAACTGGGCTAGAACAATTAGAAGGAGGGACAAGTTGTTGCCAGTGAGCGCCGTAATGGCGTTCGTTGTTGAACGGCCTCATGCGTCCTCCGGGGCACGGAGAGGATAAGTAAGTAAGTAATCATGATAGTAAGGGAAATCCTACTGGGTCTGAGAAAGAAAGAGGGGAAATCTGGCTCTGATGTGAGATTTCCCCTCGGGGGAAATCCTACTCTAAAGAATAAATATACGATATTCATAGGCGCTTGGTTTAAAGATGGTGTATTTTAGGAATGTAGGAACACACCCATTTATAAATAATCGTATTTTTTTTCAAATCGATGAAAATTAGGACTTCTAAAAAATGTAAATATCTGGACATAAGAAAAAAACGACAAGCGAACATACTTGCGTATAAAATTTTTATACATAGCTTGCACATGGATTTTATGAAACGTGTTTTAAAAATATTTAAAAAAAACCAAACAAACAAACAAACAAAAATATGTAGGACTGATTTCCAGGCATTCAAAGCAACCAAAATACCGGTATACATTTTGTCTACAAATTGGAATTTTATTTCTGTATTAAATGATATACAAAATACTAAATGCAAAATCTTCCTGTTCAAGTACTAATAAATGGATTTCCTCTTTTCAATGACATGTTGTTTTTGAAATTATCCTCGTTTCTACAGGACACGATTTCGTTATTACCAACTTGAAAATGTCGACTACATTGGTTAAATATCATTAGAACAATAGAATTTCGTCGATAGTTAAGAATTTCTGTAAGCATTGCTATCCTTAAATTACTCTCACATCAATGACTGCAAACAGTAACTATTTTACCTCCTTCAACAGTCAATTGACCTTGGATCATGATACGTCCACTTTTTAAACTATTTTTCCCCCAAATATGATGAGCATCGAAAGCTATTTTCTTTACCCACTCAAATGTTTTTTAAAATACAAAATGGTGCATCAATTTAGATGGAGCTTTCCAGTTGTTAGAGATTGATATCAGAAACCATAAAGTAAGCATCCACAGGATGTCATGGAGTAACATCCCATGTCGATCGTTCACACCTGCCATGTGATCCTTATGATGGAACTCTTTGGACAATTCAATGTGGGAATAACGGCCAAACAACTTGTATGAAAAATGTCAGTTAAAATTCAAGTAAATGACAGATTGTATTTGCTCAAATGTCATTGTATCGATCATAGAACTTGCAAAATATTGACCTTAAACGAGACAGTTCTCGAGCAAAGATGGCTTGATATATTAAAAATATAGGAAAAGTAGTATTATACTACAAATTTTTATTGCTAGAGTTCGAATCCCACTAATACCATCTTATATTTTAATAAAAGAATAATTATTTTCGAGATTTTTTTTTCTCTCGGAAAAGATTTGTTTCTCATAATTTTATTAATTTCAATAATGAGAAATCTAAATATGAATACTTAATTCACCAATTGAATATGATTTCTTAATATCTGAAGCTATAGGCATTCTGCACGCCTTGTTCCCCACCTCCTTTGAAAATTTCTTGTAGAATATGTAGGTATATTACGATGCATATCTGCAGGTATGTCTATAAGTTATTCTTGCACTAAATTATTAAATACATCTTAAAAACATTGTTTTTAATTTAGCTTCTGATTTTCTACAACTAATTGGTTTTCATCTTCATTACAAAGTTAAGTGAATCTTTATATAAGCTGTTGTTGTTAAACTTTTTACAATGCTTGCAGAATAAACTTACAACTTTTATCTAACATATCGTTTTCACTACTAGTATTTTGACAGCATCAATTCCTATTACCACATAAGCATTATAACAACTCAATGACGTATACATAATTAAGAGAGTTTTTTTTTTCAATTCAGTTACAATTTTAATTGTTTCAAAAGAGCCAATATTTATAGGCATTACCAAGGAAATTTTAAATATCCAGTGACCAATTGCAACTAATGTCACTTGAAAATTTTTGCTGTAAGATACATGTACTTGTGTTCAGAGCTAGTCTCATTGACATTGTTGAACAAAAAGCTTAGGGTATTGATCTAAAGTTGTAGAATTTAATAAAGTGTTTCTGCCAGTGACCATACCAAAATAACCTTGAGTTCCATTATTACACTTTAGTCATAAGGAATCCTTGTTTTATTAAACAACCGCTTTTAATTAGCCTCCATTTTAAACTTTATCTGCCAGTGGTCCCGATCTTGCCCTTGGATGAAGTCAGGTCATAATCTCTGCTCCAAGTTTGAGCTGGAAATAATTGTTTATTTCAAAATATAACCCGGAAAACTTGCATGGAAATATGATTCCCATGAAACCAATAATTTTGTTTACGGGAAGGGGAAAATGAATGCAGAAAATATACATATAATAAATATTTGTGATAATTATCATGCTTCGACAAATAAAAAGTATTAATGTTGGCAAAGTGTTCTTTCTTGCTTTACTTTTTCTCCAGCAATTGATTGAGATTGTCAATATTTTCAAAAGGAAGACGACACCTTTCGTACACCACTTTGTCTTTTAGATCCGCCTGTAATTTTGACAATAGAATTAACCTGTTTTTGATTGACAGCTCGCTGTCTGATTTGCACTCTTTCCTGGTTCCTTCCGGTTGGACGATATCATTGATAAGTTTGACTGGATCTGTCACAGGAAATGATTGCTCTTCCGCTGCGGTCACGTGATTGACCGTATCAGGGTCTTTTATCGTGTCTATTTCATTACTTTTTCTGCAGTCTTTTTCAATTACTTCATTCGTCATCGGAAGTAAAATTGCTCTCATCAGATTTTGAAGCAGCAGTAACTGTTGGCTGTAGTGTAAAAGATAAGAAAACATACGTTTAAACATATTATCATGTGAAAATTTGATATATTTAGTTTGTGTACATTTGGGTTAAAATATCCCTCTGTAATCTTTTGAGTTTCTCTTGTTAAAACTGGCATACATATATGTAGTTAGTAAATTAGTCATTACTGCGTGGTGCAGTGGTTAGAGCGTCAGCTCTAGAGAGTAAGGAGTTGATTCTTTGTTCATGGCTTAACGTCCATTTCTAGAACTCTTTTGGAGACGCCACCACTAGCCGGTGGAGGGCTGCAAATTTATACCTATGCTCGACACTTAGGGCCATTGAGCAATGATGATTCTTTTTCGTGTCAACATCTATTGGGCCTCGGTTTAAATAATAAATACTGCCTCATTCGACATGTTCGAAGAACGATCTCTACGTCCCGAAGTGAATTGGAACCCACTCCTAAAAGTCAGCTCCTTACTTCGCAACTCTGGGTATGGCAAGCCCTTTTGCTATTTATTAGGAAAATAAAATTTATCTTAAAATTACAGATATATCTCTCATTTTAGAGAGATATCTCTTAAAAAACAGACATATCTCCCAACTTAAGAGAGATATCTCTTATATTTAGAGAAATATCTCTTGTTATAAGAGAGATATCTCTCTAGGTGAAAGAGAATCTCTTTCTCCCTGAGAGATATCTCTTTATTTGTGAAAAGAGTCTTCTGTTTTCTGTCGTGTAATGTAAAAGGCGAGGATAATAAAGAGAGACACTGATTATCTTCTTTTTCTGGTAAGTTATGGTAATTCGATGTAGAAAAATCTGTTTATTATGATTACATCAAGAAATGGTATCATAACGATATAAAAATTTCAAAGAATTCAGAGATATGAGAAAGTGAAAGCAGGGAATAACGCATGTTTACTGCTGTTGTAGAGCAGTGTCCCCTACAAAATTAGTATTGAAAACATTGTCTTGTCATGTAAAGATTTAAGTAGAAAAATTCAAAATTTTTGCGGAGGACAGTAGGATTTCCCATGCGTATATACCGAATATACAAAGCCAGCACTGCAATGGAAGCTATGATTGTCACACAGAAAAACGTCTGAATTCCGGACAATACCACCAATGCCGTCACATCTTTCTCTGTCAAAGGAAAACAGGTATTTTTAAAAAATAATCTTTGACTTGAGTCTGTACACAATTCTAAGATAAAATTATTAAGTCGGGGTGACTTATAAGATAACAGTCACAATTTAGTTTAAATTCTTGACATTAGAGAAATAGTATCAGAACCGAAATCTTTCTCTAACTCATCAATCAACATTCTAAAAAAATCCTGATATAGAAGTAAATTCAAGACCCTTGAACAAATCGCTGCAGATTTGTTTAACCCAATCGTTAGGCTTATACAAATCAGTATCATGGGCTTGCATAACTGCTTTCAAATAATAGCAGTAATTGCAACACCAAAGACAATGTCAATTTATTAAAAATAATTAAAATTAAAAAATAGATAGATAAAAAAAAAATATAAAAGCACTCTCGTAACTCACCTATATTTGCATCATTTACACATGACATTTCTATTATTCTCCGAAACAGGTGAACTTATCAAATATCTGAAAATATGCAGGAAAGATTCAACAGAGATGATTATGAGTATAAGGGTAAGACGTACCCCTTTTTGGCCTCTGGTTTGGGGTGTCGTTTAGAATGATGCAACATTTTATAAATTAAAAACCACTTATCACCCTTGCCACAAAACGAGTATTGGTTCTATAAGTTATGAAATGCACGGAGGTCACAGGAAGTGGGAAAAAAGACCAATTTCCGAAATTTCACATTTTATGCAAATTTTAGTCAATTTTACAGCACATTTTCTTTCAGAAAACATAGATCACAAGCTTGCCTATCTATCATATTTATATATTCCATACACTAGTATTAGATGCATCTTGTGTTAAAAAACTCAGGTAGGCAAGCTTGTGGTCTGTTTTCTGAAGTGAAAAGTACCTCAAAGACGAAATTCCACCAGAATTGAGAAAATTCGGAAAATGTTCTATTTCAGCACCCTCTTGTTGCCTCTATGTATGCTTTGAATCAAAATTAGTGCTGGTTTTAAAACAAGCATCAATTTAAGATCTTAACTACAAACTATCACAGTTTTAACTGTGTTCCGATGTTTACATCAAATAAGGGACCAGATTCAGAGGTTATCATACCTTGTCCTTTTACAGCCTATCTGTTATTCAGGTGCAGATACCAAGTACATGTGTTCAACTGGTAGAAAATATGTATTATTGTACAAACTACACAAATCAACATTGTGAATTATATATGAAATGTGACTTTCACTGGTATAAAGTGTGACAATATTGATATACAACATTCTAAAATAATAACTTCTTAAAATTAGATTGAGTGATTGTTTTTTCTTGTTTGCTTTTAATCTATGATTATTTGAATGAAATTCAAAATCCCTCCTTAAAACTACCATATTATATGTATTTACTGAATTTTCATTGGGGGATAACAAGAGGAAGCGATTATTTAAAAACTATCAAATCATTTTCCGAAACAAACTAAACGTTATAGGCGCTTCTCATTTTGTTTACATATACGTATGTACTATTTACGTTTTCTGCTAAGTTCACGTAATTCAGTTCTTTCTGTTTAATATATTTTTGACAACTATCCTACTACTTCGAAAAACTTGAAATCGACAGGTGCGTTCTTCAAGCAAAAGGGAATCAGCCAAATTTCTAAATAATTACAAGTGCTTAAAATAAACTATTTAAGGGATAAGGCATTTTTTGAAAACTCTGACCTGTAGAAGTTAATACTAAAGGAAACATTTACTTAAAAGATAAAATATTGTTAGCCAGAACAAAATACGTAGTCTAGTACACTGACAAGGCTTAAAAGAATCAAAGATTATAATTATCTTGTAAGTTTTGAAACGAACAATTTAATTTATATTGGGTTTGCAATTTAATTTTTATAACTTTAACATAAATTCGCAGTACTTACATGCAGTTCGAAAACCATTTGGAAAATTAACTTTTCACAGCACGAGGGACTTTTCCGGGAAACAATTTCTCACACGAGTGTTTTATGATGCAGATGCCACCGATCTACTTTTACACTTCCCCAAACAAGCACGGCTCTTCCAAAGGTCTTTGCCAAAGTGTGAATTTCAAGTATACGATACTCACGCCCTGACACAGTGCTTTATGAATTCATATGACACGCGGAAGAATAATGAGTGAAAATAATTAATATCAGGATAAAAATCACATGATATCCAATCTATTTTGATTTATTAATTAATCAGGAAACAATCATACATGAAGTATTACTAAAGTTGTATAACTCAACATAAACAAATATTCAAATCTTATAATTTGAAAAGAACAATACTATCATAATTGTAGCAATAGAAGAAAAACGAATTTGTGACTACAATGACATTTCTTTGTGATTTAGGAAATGGAGGGTTATTCAAGAGAACAGTTCCTTTAAATACTTTTCAATTAACTGCATCTACGTATGATATAATCTTTAATCTACAGTTCCAAAATTGAAAGACAGTTTAGGGTACACCCAGAGGGTGTACACCTATAATCTAAGTTTGTCTACGACTTCATTCTCCAGTATTTATAGCTGACAACTTGCCGCCGCCGGACTGGGATTTTATTTATTTAACATGATCAAAGCTCAGATCAAAAACTGCAACACATTTAAGCTTTTGAGGATTCGTCACTGCGACCTTAAAAAAAAGACTACGGTCAAATTGCTGTAAAGGACCATCAGAAGGTCCATTACTGTACACAGCATAACAAGCGACATTCTGTTGCTGTAAAAGACCATAACAAGCGAAAATCTATTGCTGTAAATGACCATAACAAGTGACAATATGTAACTGAAAACGACAATACATTGTAGCTTTAAATGACAAAAAGAAATCACATTGGTGCACCTTTGAACAAGACCGAAGATCAATGTCACGAAAACCTTATTATTTTTTTTATTCAAACCATATTTATAAAAAACTTCAAAATAAATTATTGGCAAAATTAAATTTTGAAAAAAAGTGGTCTAACTTAGATGTCAATTTTTTCAAATAAAAAGTAGCAATGCTTTAGCATATACATCAGTACCTTACTAATTAAAGGACAGCATAATTGAAAAAAAGACATGGCATTATCAATTAATTTTATTCCATGCTGAAAAAAAAACAAGGAAAAAGCAAATTTGGAGAGAAAAAAATGTCAGATATCAAATTTTAAAGTCATGAGGTTAGACTGAAACTGTTCAAAGTTCTTGTGACAGGCCATATGATGCAGCAGTCCAAAGAGTAAATTCCTATCCTTCAATTGACGAATAAAATATGAAGATACGGTAATTAACACCAATCTTAGCTAATGAACCTCAAAGGTCCCTCGAAACAGTTCGGAATGTAAACAGAGCAAACACGGATCTTTAAGGCATCAAAGATGAAATGCAATACCATGGTAATGAGTAAGCATTCCCTGCCAACCGGTAATATCCACCACGTACTCCCTGTCAGGATCGGAACGAAAAAGTGGTCTAGCAGTATGTATGAAAGAAAACATGATGATGTCAGACAAAATTTCACTTATTCATTGCTGGTATTAGCTCTGAACCAACCTTTGCAAGATAGTAGATAAGTGCTCTAAACACAAGAAAAACGAGGGACAATAAATTTTAAGTGTTTATTGTATGTAAAATATTACAAGGAATATTCATGGCACACTAGAAATCAAAATTACGATAATATTGACGGCCAATAATGTCAAAGGTACTCTAATGTCTTCCATTTTATTTTAAGGACAGATGATACAAACAAACTTTTGTCAAAGAATTTTGAAATAACAAGTTGGTTCATGTTTAAATGAATAAAATGAATAACTTGCACCGTGAGGTTTTTAATTCTTTATTTGTATAGAGTAATAAGGATGGCTTCAGAATGGCAGAATTTTGAACATCACAGAAGGTTTACAATTTCTTTATATTCTAGAAATTTATTATTTGCATCATTTGCAATGAAATTAGGCAAAAAATATATACCAATCCAGGCATCCATTTTTTTTTTATTTGTATCATCTGTCCTTAAATCTCGAAAAAGAGAAGCAACAAAGCTCTATTAACAGCAAGAATGTTCTTTTTGCAGCAATCACTTTTTTTTCAGTTGATAAAATTTTGTATGTGCCTGATGTGTGTTTTGAACATTCCATGAAATGAATCAGAAATGTGATGTAACTAAGATTTTTTCAGAATCTTTTTTGCAATTCATAGATTCCATTGTCACTCTCCAAAAGGAATCGGCCACTCTGCACATCCATGGAGCCAGCCATTGAAAGCTCGACATGTTGCTCTTCAGATGAAACATTTTCCTGACTTGAACTTTCGTATACAGGGTTACTGAGATGCTTGGTCTTTGGACAATTCAAGAACTGCAATGGGATTTCCTGGTAGTTCTTTTTACTTTCTGTACTCTGAATGTGGCTTGTCTCCGTCGTCTTGGAGTGTTGCTCCTCCTGAACGCTTTGATCACTCTCTTCTAGTTTGTGAAGAATTGCCAAGAGAAGATCTCTGTCCTTTCTGTAAAAAACACGTGTATATGTTTACAATTTTAGAATACGATAAAAAGAATTTTATTGAGTGATATTTTCTCATTCAGAATAAGATGACCAACTAAAAATGCTATCATATAAAATGAATGCATGCACGTTTATTTATGAATGAAAAGACAACGCCTAATAAGTTTTACAATGTTAAAAAAGAACTAGAGGAACTGTGAGCAATGAGCTCACTAAATGATACCCCTGGTCTCACATAATGTCATGAATACATGTGTAATGGCCGTGTCCATGTTTTGTTACTTGGAAAAAATGTGTATGGCTTGGATCAAAAAGTGAAAATCTTGCACAATGATAAATAATTAAACCTGTTGGTATCATCAAATTTCATTCAGTGGTATAAGAGGAGTTCTGGACGTGAAAGTAACAGACGGACGGACATCCCGATTACTATATACATGTACCCTCCCGCTTTTCAAGCGGGGGGAATAAATATAAAGCTTTCAAAACTTTTAAATAGAGATACACCATTGTTTGTACAATTTGTTTTACCTTCTCTGAATTACAGAGAGAAGAAGGAAAAAAATGACCAGTAAGACGACTCCTCCCAAAAACAGGAAAAGGCTGCTGAACAGGGCTTTATCTGAAATAAATATAAATGTGAATGAATGCAACTCCAAACTTGTCCAAATTAATGCTGAAGAACTTTTTTTACTCAGCCGAGAAAACTATTTGAGAACTCATAACCAATAAAAATAGCATGCTTTTTCATACAGTCTTCGCAAAAGAATTAACTTTTAAAGTAAGCATGGTAATCACGGTGAAGCAAACACTTTAGAAATAAATAAACTCTGCCAAGAAAATGAAAATGAGGTTGAAAGTCAAATTTGCGCTTCATTACAAATCGCCGAAGAAACATTATTAAAGATGTGGTTTGGATATCTGGAGAGAGATTTTTTTTTCTCTACAATGTTCAAATGGACAAAGAAATGGAGGAGGAATTTAATTATATTGTAGTCGAAATGGTCGTTCAAAAATTGAGGGACATCACAAATGTTACTATATATATCAACATGATATCTGTAAATGCCAGATTTACGTTGGTATAACACACTTAAAGTGTCTTTATCACAAGTATTGTAAAGGAAGTACGAATCCGAATTTAAAGAAAGTGGTCTCATTTCATTGAAGACGCTTAAGAGAAACCATGCATTAATTTTGACATAGTAAAAATGTTGCTGATATGATTACAGTATTGACAAAAGAGGGAAATTGTACTTTGAGAAAGAAAGAGGGAGAGATCTTTTTAGTGTGAACATTTTATACAGTAATGTTTTGTATTACAGATTTGGAAAAGTTGGCATGTAGTGATATTTTCTACAACGAGATGTAAAAATAATTTTGAAGAAAGGACATTTTCATTTTTGTAACAGTTTTAGAAATTTTCATTTGATAATAAAAAACAACCAAAAGGGGACTTTACAAGATTTAGATACGTCATAAAAAGTGTTGTTCATAGGGGTCTTTTGGGAATCCCTAAAAAGAGTTTCCTGAGGTATCGTAGGTATAAAGATCTTTGACATGTGTTAACTTTAACATCCTAATGTAATACTTTGAGGATTATAAATATATGAAAAATTGCTTCTTGTGATTTTTTTCTTCAATTTTTAGATTACACTTTTGAATTTTTTACTGAGCAACCCTCGTATATCAACTACTAGTACTCGAATAAAAATTAAATGCTATTTTTTTTTTATTTCCCTTCAATTTCTTTTTGCAACTTCTTACTGTTATGTACATTGTATCTGTTATAATATTAATATACAGGAAAATATCATCCAAATGTTCTTGGAAGAGCAATCTGACAATTTTGTACACGTAATAAATCTGTACACAAAATTAGTGATTTGTGTACACGTAATAAGTCTGTATATATTATAAATTTTGGAATAATGAATTTTCATGAGTAAGTCCCGTATTTCAAATTACAGCTGAACTTCATTTTCTTTAAGTATTACTTAACTTGTCATAATTTATTTGATTTCCAATTCTGAAAAAGTTCTCTTATCATTGTGAAAATTGGCATTTTATCATTTTACTGTTCGTTATCTTCACCCTTTTTCATTCCTTACAGATTCAAAAAGTTCGTCAGTTAAAAATAAAAAAAATCTCCACTTTAAGGTACATCAAATCAAACTAAACATTACGGACTAGTTAAATAATGATAATATTTTAAAAAAAGAACCGTTTAACAAACGTTGGTGGTTGCCGTTATTTGTAGACGCTTGTGTCGCCGTTGCTGAAGCATTCAATGATTTGTCAAAGCCCATTACTGTAAGGGAGAAAAATCTCTAAACAAAACTGACAAAACATTCCAGAAATTCTTTATATTGATCAATTTGCCAATCTTCAATTACACTGCATTGCATAGACCCAACTCTGTAAATTTTCAAAAAGAAACAAAATTTGACAACTGTGGAAATGTGTACTCATTGTAATACCCGGTACAATGTAATTAATTCTGGTCATATATTTACAAAACAAAATCTTCAGATCAGAAGCTAGCTTTAACAACTAACAATATTGCCTTTGCTAAAGACATTGATGATTTGTTTTCACCTTTTACATATTGACTTGTTGAGCTATGTGTTAGTCTTTGTTCTCCTTTCTGTTGTGTCACTGCACTGGTTAATTGTGTAGGCACAGCTACTTTTACACATTGTTTTGTCCTCGCAATGAATTGTCAGGTTCCCTTAAAAGAAAAATAAAAAAATAAAAAAAGGACTACATCGGTCACTTTATTAAGGTAAGATATAATTTGTCTTAAAAGGATGGGTACTTTAACAAGTTTCGTCACAGGAAATTAAGGCTGACCTCGCAAGACATTTGGACAAGAAATCAAATGTTGAAATTTCTTATACAGTAGATAATTCTTATGGTTATTCGGTAATCTTCTGAACGACCTACATCCGTCGCAATATTTTGTGTACGTATATTTATAAAGTATATTGAAAATAATGTAGCAAGTACAAAATTGACAATTATGAACTGTTTTTAAATAATACCAAAGAAAGAAAGAAAGAAAGAAAAGAAAAGAAAAGAAAACATATTTGAGGAACGTGCCATCTGACCTTAATGACTGGATGTAAGAATGAAATGCTTACCCAATACTTTAATCAGTATATAACTTGATGCAGATTTTCCCTTGGTACGAATGAGCAACTTCTTAGTAATCACTTGAACTTCCACTCCATAGAGACTTACACTAGGGTGATTGTGCTCTGAAGCATTGAAATAAAAATAGAATATTGATTAATGTAAATTGCACTATCAAAATAATTATATTTATAAAATATTATGTTAATATATGTTGATAAATAAAAAGTATATAATAAAATCTGTAATTATATTTTAGAGAAGGATACTTTTTATAAAGAAAGAAAATTTTAAAACCATCAAAAGTATCTCGTATTATATATCTTACCGTAAAAAGGCATACTTTCATTGTAGATGGAAATTTCAACCATATTTGTCTGTAAAATATGAACAGGTGAAATATTACCAATGACGTCGCACGAACAGTTTTCTCTGTCACCAGATAACCGTAAATATACATGGGGACTTCTGCTGTATTTTCTATTTGTGCACATATCAATGACTTGATAATCTAAAAAATAAAGTTTTTGTTAATTATCTGAAAATTAAAGTAGAAGAACTGTCAAGAAATTGGGAAATTTCTTTTCCTATGTAAAATTACCTTGAATACATTCGTAATCAATGCTTTGTCGAAATTTGGCTTCGTTTAAATCCGATTGATGTGATTGACTGCATGATTTGCGAAGACCTGCCTCTACATCTTTAAAGTATTGAGTACTCACATGGCACTGAATTTTACCATTGCAATCTCTTACAGCTGACGAAAAAGCTGAATTGTTTTGTCCAAGCGTTTGGTTGATAGGAAGTTTGGCACCACAATAAAGGGCATCTGTCTCTTGACATCCAAAGATCGTGGATGATAACTTGTGAAATCCATCCTCTATGATATGATGTTTGATATAAATCGTATGATTTTTGGGGCATTGGAATTGGTAACCGTTCCAGTCACGTGTTCTCTTACACTGTGTGTTTTGTAACGAACCTTTGGATATAAAGAAAAAAGTTCTCATTTGAAACACAGATTGTTGACAGTAGAAAACAAAAATGCTAGATATCGTCTTTTAACTTTTACGTTAAAGCAGCAGTTGCACTTTACAAACTACTCTCTTATCAAATGTTACACGATAAAAAATTCCAAATACCTCGACCAGAACCAGCACGGACCTCGTGGAAACATAGAATGGTTCAGGCGTCATGGAAGACACGCCTGGAATGTGCTGTTTTTCTTGATTGAAACAGACCATGTTCACAGACCGAATTGAATAAACTTAGAGAACATACACAGAAAATTATTGCACGTCAAGTATTATTTTTTAGCATATAAAAAGAGCCAAAAGTCTTAACGTAGAGACATGGTTTCAATTTCATGAAGACTTTTTTTTCAAAGCAAATTTTACCATTTGCCCGACCATGGCAAGAAACTCACTTTGGGTGTGACTGGTCGACAGGGGATGTTTAATCCTCCATGACACCTCATTCTTCAGTATTTAGAGGAAAATGTTTGCTTTCTTCCCAATTCGTAATTTGTAATTGACTTTAAGCTTTAAAGTTTAAAGCTTTATCCTGTTCGTCACCTTCATATTTCATTTCAGAAGTGAAAAAAGAATTAGTTTGATTACATTATCAGTACGTGGTCCCTGCCGACAAAGCAGGTAACAACATTGTCTTCTTGCCAAAATGAATTTGAACTACCTTATATATATATTGGATTCCGAAACTTCATAAAAACCCTTAAACAAATGAACTCATAAATTTACTTATCTGGTCATTGGTCATTTGCAAAACTATTTTGTTAAAACACATTCTGATTGCACATACAAGTACTCTGAAGTTGACATCAAAGAGATGCTTAAGTTTCTGATTGACAATATCTATGTGGTTTTTGGAGACCAGGTATTCCAACAATCTATTGGAATTCAATGGGTACCAATTGCGCTCCGTTATTAGCAGACCTATTTTCATATTCATATGAAGCAGAATTTGTGCAAAATCTTATGCGTGAAAAGAAGAAAACACTTGCTATGGCCTTCAACTCGACATTTAGATATGTCGACGACGTACTGTCAATTAACAATGGTTGTTTCGATTCTTACGTCGATACGATATATCTTGGTGAGCTTGAGATAAAATATACCACAGAGTCTGACACATCTGTTTCATATGAAAATTTTACTTGAAAAAGACGTTAATGGTAATCTAACAACCAAGCTATATGATAAACGTGATGACTTTTTTATCGTCAACTTCCCTTACTTATGCAGCAATATACCTTCATCACCTGCATATGGAATGTATATATCTCAGTTGATTCGATACGCAAGAGCATGCTCTACGTATGAATGTGGTAGTTTCAGATAAACGGCATCCAACTAGCTTGAGCTAGTGGGTTAACCCTTTAGCTCAATCGGTAGAGCACTGGACTGGCAAGTCAGAGGTCCCGAGTTCGATCCCATGCAGAGGCAATAAATTGTCTCTGTTACATTTGGCGCAAACGTTGGGACCCGGATGTTCTCTGGCGGGTGAGAGTGATTGCCCCTAGAACTTTACCCCACAGGTGTCGGCACTCCGAAAGGGATGAGGACATCTCATTCTCCAGAGGGGGACAATGTGGTAGTGTCAGATAAACGGCATGCTTCTAGCTTGGGCTAGTGGGTTAACCGTTTAGCTCAATCGGTAGAGCACTGGACTGGCAAGCCAGAGGTCCCGGGATCGATCCCATTCAGAGGCAATAAATTGTCACTGTTACATGAACAATTTCTGAAACGAGGTAAATTATTGACAAACAAGTTGATGAAACAAGAATATCAACAGTCTCGTTTAAAGTAATCATTTCGTAAGTTCTATGGTCGATACAATGCCCTTGTCAGTAAATACAATTTATCATTGAGTCAAATGCTGACTGACGTTTTTCATACTTATTGTTAGTCCATTATTTATACACTGAATTGACGACGGATTTTCCCGTTGTTTCCTGATCATGAGTCATGACAATGAGCACACGGCGGGTGTGACCGGTTAGCAGGGGATGCTCACTCCTCCATGGTACCTGATCCCACCTCCAAAGTTTCGGAGGTCCGTGTTTGCTCTGCTCCTATTTTGTATCGTTTCATGGACTTCGAAATTGAATACTCTTCGTTATCTCTCAAATGGACATTTTCGGTTGGTTGAACTTCTACAACTATCAGCATATATCGTAAAGAAGTGTGGAAACAATGTTTTGCAAAAAAGAAATACAAACAAATGATATAAAATTATTAACCAAAATGATTCAAATTATTTCTGACCCTTGAAAATAATAAAAATAATTTAGATTTAGGCAGTAGATTATAAACATCAGCTCGAGCTCCAGTCCCAACTCTTTGTAGTGTCATGTTGTAAATTCTGTAATCTCAAAGCGCCCAAGCCCCCCCCCCCCCCCCCCCCCGTCTTATTTAACATTGATTGTATAAAATGCACATGTCATAGCTTTGGGAACTTTATTCATGAAATGTTTTAAATGTTAAAAAGCCCTTAGCGATGTTTGAAGACATCCTATTCCATGTATAAAAAGCAGTTTAAAATACTATGCAACATTTTTGGTGCGTAATGCGCTCCATACATCCGTTGTCGCTATTTTGGAAATGTTCAACCAACCGAAAATGTCCAATGGCCCCTTAAAATGAATACATTAATTTTACGTTATACAATAAAACTCGTATAGTACAAACACGGATATTGCGAATTCATGGATATAACGAAATTATCTTGGATCCCCAACTACATACGTTTAACGAATTCCTTACTTGGATATAACGAATTACGGATAGAGCGAAGTAATTTCACAGGTCCCTTGACTTCGTTATTACTGAGTTTTACTGTACATGTATATAGTTTTAATTTGCACGGCTATAGATGTGGCCTTTATTAGTAATTTTACATTTGATCAAAATATCATTTATTTAGAAATATGACATCATAAAGTTCACGTTTTCCCGCCATTTTGGCATATTTTGTATAAAACTCTTATTTTCAAGCAATTTTTCTTCCAGAATACATTGAGCGCAAACTAGAAAAACTTAATATTTACAAAAGATGTACCTATACAAGACTTATTAATGACAGAAAAATTTTGCATGTACCAAGCTGCGCTCTATGAATCTCATAAGAAAACAAAAGCCCATGGGCCACATCGCTCACCTGAGCAATGTGGCTAGGAAAAAAGCATAAATCAGTTTAATATTGAAAAGTTGAAACCCAATATTGGTCCCAAACAATCCTTAAAAGGGAGAGGGTATGATTTGAACAAACTTGAATCTACACTAACTAAGAATGCTTGCAAATTTCTTTGACTACCTGTGGCTTTATTGCCCTTTACATTTGAACTTACATTGTGGCACCGCCCTACTCCCAGGGGTCATGACTTGAACAAAATTGAATCTACACTACCTGAGAATGCATCCATATGAATAGGACTAATCATGGCTTTGCTATTTTTGAAAAATAAGATTTTTAAAGATTTTTTCCACATGTTTCTATGTAAAACTTGGATTCCAGGTTGTGGCCCCGCCCTACCCCTAGGGATCATGATTTGAACAAACTTGAATGTCCACTACCATAGGGTGCTTCCATATAATATGATCATTTATACCTTTGCTATTCCAGAGAAGAAGATTTTAAAAGAATTTTTCTGAAAGAATGCCACTGTGGCCCCGCCCTACCCCCGAGGGTCATGATTTGAACAAATCTGAATCTCCACTACCTGAGGATGCTTCCATATAAATATGATCATTCATACCTTTGCTAATTCTTGAGAAGAATTTAAAGAATTTTCCTATATATTTCTATGTAAAAATTTGATCATCCATTGTGGCCCCGCCCTACCCCTGGGGGGGTCATGATTTGAACAAATTTCAATCTACACTACCTGAGGATGCTTCCCTATAAGTTACAACTTTCCTGGCACAGCGGTTTTTGAGAAGATTTTTAAAACATACCATCAAATTTTCACTATTTCTGAATTATCTCCCCTTGAAAAAGGGCGTGGCCCTTCATTTGAATAAATTTGAATCCCCTTCATCTAAGGATACGTTGTGCCAAGTTTGGTTGAAATTGGCCCAATGGTTTTTGAGAAGAAGTCGAAAATGTGAAAAGTTAACGACAACAACGACGACGACAACGACGACGACGACAGACAACGGACAAATTTTGATCAGAGAAGCTCACTTGAGTCTTCGATTCAGGTGAGCTAAAATGTCAAGAAAAAGTCCATTTTTGTCTTGTTTTGGTTGAATAATTAATACAGCGAGTACCTCGCAGTTATCTAACTTACTACCACTCTTTTGCGGGGGAGTAGAGAAAGCTCTAAATCTCGCAAGATTTCTGGGACACATAACATTGTTAACTGTTACAATAGAATGATTCGAACAATTTTATGCCGAAAGTACAATGTATAGCCACGGATTGAACTCCAAATAGTAGATGTCAAATAAGGAAATTTTAGATCAACTTTAAAATGTGACGATTTTCAATGAAAATTAAATGAGAAGAGTACGCTTAGTTAAAAATATCGTAAAATAAGATTTTAGTATTAGATCCTCTCAAAAATTGATTAGGCTGGTTCAGCGATTGTTTAGCAAGGTATTCCAGTAGGATTTTTTTTTTACCTATCTGTCATTATAAATTCTACAATGATTGATCTTGCATTGTATTCAATATCACATTATCTCCCATCCGACAGACGATTCCTACCTCCATCGCGAAAGAGTTTCACGATATCAAGTATTGCAAAAATAGCATCATTTCTGACATCACTTTTAGCCTATGAGTGCATATAAATGTAAAATATGTATTGGAAATCTTTTTAATGTAATCTCTTCTACAAAATAAAAATCAATTATACATATATGAATACTAGTATTATTTTAAAATGTTGATTTTAAGGGGCCAAAATGACTCTTATCATATACATGTATAGTCCTTTAGAAGAAAGAAGTATTAACTTAAGTTTACAATCTTTAAGTAAAGTATGCTTGTCATTACTACACTTAAAACATTTAAAAAGATTATAGTAATTCTCTAGAATATTTTATCAAGAAAAATTACCTTGAATATCTACGATTAAAATGAATACAATGATTCCTATGGTATGATACATCCCTTTCTTTTTTTTAAAAATCAAATTGGCGAAAACATCAAAAGCAAGATCATGATGAATTTAACGTTGCATTAGGTTTATTTTTCTAAACACTAGATTGTGAGTCCTACATAGCAAAACAATTTAAATTCTTCCGTGTCAAGTAAAGAGGAATAAACTACAGATCTTCCTGAATGACTAGGCCTTGCTTCATCGTGAAGCTAAGTATGAAATGATTCGATGGTGAACGTGTTAAAAATACAAAAATGCAAAAAGTATTGGAGAAAAAAAAATTCATCAATTATAAATGTTTTGATTATGTATGGTATAAACCTTGCATCTCTAGCCATGGGTTGAGATCTAGTAATTCATTTGTAGATTATTTTTCATATCACAATGGGAAATCTAATAAATATATATAGAAACAATTGTTTTTCGATTAAACGTGTTTACCCGATTGTAGTACTCAAAACACTTGCTTTACACGGAAGAAAATGAGGGATAGGGATAAAACTAAATGAAAACAAAATTGTGCAAAAATTGTAAGCTACATACATTTTTAAAAAGAGATATTATGAACTGCTGTGACTAAAATGATTTCTATTTTAAAAAACGAATACAAATCAGTTCTTTGTGCTTGTGATATCATCAATGATTTGTTACAGCATCCGTATCCACGCATGTATATCTCCGAGAATGATTACTTTGTCAAAAGATCGGTTCATTGACGTCTTGCATATATAGTCATATTTATAAAAATAATTTCTTATTAAACACACAGAATTGGCTCCCAACAAACATTTACCCTATTAAAAAGAATAAGTAGGCAGTTATTAATTAAGACAAGAAATTTACAATATTGAAAAAGTAAAATTTACTCACGCAAAGTTATCAATAATTCATATTCGAATACTGCGATAATCACTTATGCATTTATATAACATTATCGCCTCCATGTATGTGCAACAAAATTAGGACTGCATACACATTTTTTAATGTGTTCTTTGATCAGGTCTCCCGAACAACATCAAGGTACTCATTTGTTAGACTTAGTTCAGTATAGGTTGATGTTCCGTTGACAGCCTGTAATGGAGTGTAGTGCTGTAAGGGGGGTTGTATTTCGCTGGTTTCTGACTGATTACACAAACAGTCTGCTCGGTGAATCTCAATACTTTTCTTACCGTCTTCTTGTTTGGGAGGAAACACAAGTACAAATCGTTCTCCCTTATCATTTATTTGGATCGTGTTCGATTTGTGAGATCTGGAATAGATAATATTTCTTTTTCTAGATCTATATTCATCAACAACCTAGCTAAAAATATGAAAGGTATAAAAAAAAATGTAAGGATTATGTGTGGCCATCATCCCCACGTTATGTATTACATATTTAGTTCAAAGAGGGAACATACATGTATTAAATGGATATCAAAAAAAATGCAGGCTTTGCCATTAGTCAAAAGTAAGCTTGTTTCCCATAAAATTAGCTGCAAAGTTAATTAAAACAATTTATAAATCATGGCCGTGAGGATGATTTTTTGAGATGTAATGTAAGTATAAAGCAAATGAAAAAGAAATAAATTTAGGTTTAGTGAGGGACCAACTAACTTAGAATTTACAAGTGCTGCGCTTTTCCCTAATAGCAAAATAAGAAATAAAAAAAAATTAAGGAGTAATTGGCTTTGATTTATTACTTAAACTTCATAATTTTTTTATCGCAAGATGAATCAAAGTTTTGTAAAAAGAAGTTTAATGAAATATATCTAGAGAAAAAGTCAATATGCATCAAGAAATATGGTTCAACATTGTTAAGTTTAATTACCAAATATGACTGGTGTATGTAGTACTATGGATATATCAGACTTTTTGTAAAAATGCTGTAAATTGCAATGCAAAATGTTCATTTGTAGTTAAATGAGGAATGAAACGATTTCCTTGATAAAGCTTGTTACTGACGTAATTGAAACAAAATTTGGCTGACAAATTTTGCTGCATTTATGGATATCAGTCTCACATCCGCCATTCATTTATGAACGAACGACAAGTTCATGGGCAAGGGTCACGTTAAATGTAATTATTTTGAAGATTGGTATACAATTTCTGATCCTAAAATGACATAAAAATAATTTACCTATTAACTACAACACATTGGTGGTTATTTATCAGATGTGTTTTGTATAAAATATAAATATATATACAGTAAACCATGAGATTTTCAGGATGTAAAATGTAATAAATGGAGAAAACAAACAGAGATTTATCTTAAAAAATCTTTTTAAAAAAAATCAATCTTTGAATGCATAAAGGGCATAAATACACGGCCCTTGGAAATTCCAGAGTTGGGATTAGATGCCTAGGAGGAGTAAGCATTCCCTGTTGAGCGGTCCCACCCACAAACAGCCCTATGAATTGATTCAGTATAATAGCGAAGACCTCACATTTACTATGAGACAAATCACCTGAGATTTGACCAAAGAATAAGTTGCTTGCTGACAAGGTCATTACAATGATCACATAATTGACGAAATGCGAATTTTAAATGAGATTGTCGAAATTTGCTTAACCGAAATTTATCAGTAACTAACAGTGAAAAGGCTTTACAAAAGACTATTCATTACAGTTTCAACTCTAATGAGTTTGAAAATGACCATTCATGACTCTGCTTACGACATAAAATAACAAGAACCATCAACTTTTTCCTGCCAATCTGTGTCAAATATTACATATATTTTGTAAATAAAGATACGATTATCGAAACTCAAAAATTTTCGTGATTTGCCTTATAAAAGAAATAGGACTAGATAACCGACAAACACATCTTTTTTTTATCGTACTTGTCAAAAGTTCAAATTTTAAAAGGAACATTCGACAGTACAAAACTAACGCTTAAAATTTTTAGAAAACATAATACAAAAATGACCGAATGACATGTAATATTAGTGAACAAAGCAATTATAACGAACATAGAATTCACGAAATTCTGACATGAAACGACATTGTTTAAATCACTGAAACATCAACTTATCTGTCAGTAGCATCCGGGGTCAAAAAAAAATCCTTCCAAAAAAGCATAATGTTTAGTTGCAGATAAGTTGGGAGACGTAAACATCATAAGCATATGAAAGCGAAATAAATAAGAAAGGATGCCGATTGAAAAGCTGAAGTCGTCTTGTTTGTCATACAATAGTTTGACTGCTTTTAGATTGCACTTCACTACAGTCAGTAAACCATTCCAATATGGAAACAGATGTGAAAGGCTCAATGCTGAGGTTTATGAATAATATTTTTACTTGAACATTTATCATAAAGACAGAAATCACATTCAATCTATGTGTTTTTGTCATTGGAGAAAAATGATGAGAAGGACAAAACATTACACATTAAGAATATATCTAGGATTTTTAATGTGGATAGCTTTGTATTAAACCTACCTCTGTTTATTGATCAGAAATATTACGAGTAAAATTAAAATGACACCAAAGGAAACTTGTATAACATCTAATAATCCGCCGTATTTCTTGCTTGCTGAAGAAATAGAAAACAAATTACACATTATAAATAGGAATGAAGCATTAGGATCGCTTTTAAACAAACGAATTTTTTTCTTTTCTGAAGGAAACGGTAAAAAACATAGAGATTCTCTATAGAATTAACCTCTCTGAAATTCGTCTCTTTTAATAGTACGTACTGATCTCATTTGAATTCAATGTTGATTTACTTTCTGCAGACATCATCGAAAAAACTTGTCCGGTTGATGTTTTCTGTTCTTGAAATGCTCGCCTGAGACCATTCAGTGATTTCACCATTACATCTACACTGGTTACATCTTTTACATATTGTCCTGATAAGGAATGTTTTTGTATTTGTTCTCCTTTCTGATGTGTTTCTACACTGGTTAATGGTGTAGAAACAGGATCCTGATCTTGAACAGTGCTCGTCAATTTTAACTCCTCGCAACGAATTGTCAGGTTTCCTTAAAAGAAAATGAGTATTAAAAAAAATGGTGCACCAGTGATCTGATGAATAAACTGTAACTGGATGTAAGAATGAAATACTTACCTAATACTTTAATGAGTGCATGACTTGCTGCAGATTTCCCCTGTATATGAATGAGCAGCTTCTTCGTATTCACTTGAAGTTCTACTCCATAGAGACTTACACTAGAGTGTTTGTGCTCTGAAGCATTGAAATTAAAATTAAATATTGATTTATGTAAATTGCACATGAAAAAGAATTAATTTTAAAAAATATTATATCTTGACGTTGTTGACAAATAAGACTTACATATTTTTCTTTCAGAAAAAAGGTGCTTAAAAAAAAGAAAATATAAAACCATCAAGAAATATTTCGAAGTATATTTCTTACCATACAAAGGCCTACTTTCATTGTAGATGATCAATTCTGCCATAGTTGTCTGTAAAATATCAACACGGGATATATCTCCGTTGACTTTACACGAGAAGGTACTTTCATATCCAGGTGATAACCGTAAATATACATGGGGACTTCTACTGTATTTTCTGTTTGTGTCCATATCAATAACTTGATAATCTATGATATATATAAAACTACAATTGTTTATTAGTTAACTGAAAAGTAGGAAGACTGTCTAGAAATTTTAAAATTGTATTCACATTTTAACCATTACCTTGGATACATTCATAATCAATGCTTTGTCGAAATAAGGCTTTCTTTAATTCTGATTGGTGGAATTGGCTACATGATTTTCGAAGATCTGCCTCAACATCTTTAAAGTATTGAGCACTCACATTGCACTGAATTTTACCATTGCAATCTCTTACAGCTGAAGGAAAAGCTGAATTGTTTTGTCCAAGTGTATGGTTGATAGGAAGTTTAGCACCACAATATACGGCATCTGTCTCATTACAGCCAAAGAACATGTCCGAGTACGATAACCTTTGAAATCCATCCTCAATGATATGGTGTGTGATATAAATCGTATGTTTTTTAGAGCATTGCAATTGGTAACCGTTCCAGTCTTTTGTTTGCTTGCACGGGGTGTTTTCTAACGAACCTTTAATATAAATATTATTTTTATTCGAAACATAGATTGTTGACATTCGTACACAAAAAAAGCTTCATCTTCTCTTGCACTTTATAAACTAATAAAAAATTCCCAAAACTTTGACCAGAACCAGCACGGACCTCGTGGAAACATAGATTAGGTCAGGTGTCATGGAAGACACGCCTGGAATGATCGAGACATAGACCATGATCTTGCGTATCGAGACAACTTAGAGACTTTAACGTATATAGAAAATTATTGCACATAAAGTATTATTTTTTAGTATATCATAAGAGCCAAATGATTCAACTTAGAGACATGGTCTCTATATTATAAACCATTTCTTTAAAGCAAATTTTACCGTTTGCCCAATCATGAAAAGAAACTCACTTTGGGTGTGACTGGTCGACAGAGAATGCTTAATCCTCCATGACACCTAATTCCTCTGTATTTAGAGGGAAATGTTTGCTCTCTTCCCAATTCGTATTTTATAATTGACTTTAAAGCTTTATCCTGTCCGTCACCTTCATATTTCGTTTCATATATGTATACAATAACATCAAAATGACGTAAATTAATAAAATAAAAGTATTAAATAAAGTTTATAATCTTTAAGTAAAGTGTGCTTGTCATTACAATATTCATAAAGATTATAACATTCTCTAGAGTATTTCATCAAGAAAAAAATTACCTTGAACATCTAAGGTTAAAGTGAATACAATGATTTCTATGGTATGATACATCCTCTTTTGTTTAATCAAATTGGCGAAAACTTCAAAAGCAAGATCATGCATTTGGCTTATTTTTCTAAATACTAGAATATGAGTCATGCAAAGCAAATCAATTTAATTTCTTCCGTGTCAAGTGAAGAGAAATCGGAATAAACTACAAATCTTCCTGAATGAAATTGTAAATGACCAGGTCTTGCTTCATCATAAAGCTAAGTATGAAAAAAAAAGATTCGATGGTCAAAGGGTTAGAAATACAAAACTGCAAAAATCATTGGAGAAAAAAATCATCAATTATAAATGTTTGATTACGAATTTTGCTTATGTTTGACATAAAACCTTGTTCCCTAGCCATTGGTTGAGATCTAGTAATTCATTTGTAGAGTATTTATTTTTCATAGCACAATATCATCATAAAATCTAATAAATATATATATATATATATAGAAACAATTGTTTTTCGATAAAAATATTTTACCCTATTGTAGTCCTAAAAATACCAGCTTTATACATAAGAAAATTGAGGCATAGGGATAAAACTAATGAAAACAAAATTGTGCATAAGTTTCAACAATGTATTTTATAAAAATATGATGAATTGCTGTAACTGAAATAGGTTTTATTTTAAAAACGATTACAGACCAGTTACTAGTGCCTGTGATATCAGCAATGATATGTTACTGCATCATTATCTACGCATGTACATTTCTAAAACGATCACTTTGTCAAAATATCGATTCACTGAAGTTCTGCATATACAAGTCATTCCTATAAAAAATTCTCAATAAACACACACCTACACCAACACTCACACACCAACGCACAAAAATGGCTGCCAACAAACATTTACCCCCTATTAAAAAGAATAAGAAGGCAGTTATTAAGGCAAGAAATTTACAATATTGAAAAAGTAAAATTTACTCAATAATTTATATTCTAATATTATATAATTTCTTAAGGCAAAATTAACATAATTCATATTATATATAAACAGGAATAATATAAGTATTCAAAAAGGTTTTCATAATTATTTTTTAAAATGGCCGTGATCCCCGTAGAATATTTGCACTAGGGGGTCTTTTTTAATAAAGTATTATTAAAATATGGTAAATTTTTGTTTTAAGATTTGCACTCATTTTTGTCTATGCTGTAAGCTGTTTTTCAGTTTCATATTTATTTTTTTAAAATGAGACAATTTGGATTGGAATTTTTATATTGTATTTTATTTTGTCACGTTGTGTAAAAGGGAAGATCATTTCACATATTCAAAGATCTTTATTTCTGCTCTCAGTATAGTTAATGGACCTCCTATTAGATTGTTTTGTTATCATGACATATAATGAAAATATTTATTTTATTTTCATCTAAAAAATACATCATTACATGTATACGTTTTTGTTCCTGTCAAAATCATTAAAAATTATAAAAAAATTTTTCTCGTTGGATGTAAAGAGCTCTGAAAGCGGTTTAAACAAAAAAAATTGCAATATTTTTTGCTTAGTGAAAAAAAGATGTCAGTGAAATTTTTTCCCCTTAGTCATTGTCAATGGGCGTTTTGGATCAGCTAAATATCATTAATAAGAATTAAGTAGGCAACAAATTCTTTATTATCAAAGTGACATTGTTACAATACAATACAAAAGTTTAATAAAAATAATATTCAAACACCTGGCCCATCGGACCTATATGTCAAGTTGAGGGCAACAGCTCGTGTTTCCTTCTTCTCATATGTTGTAGTTTTTGAAGGAATTTTGCTTCATATGAATATAAAAATAGGTTTGATGATAATAGGACGCAATTTATGCCTGTAGGATTTCCAACATATTTTTGGAAGATCTGATTGTTAAAAACTTAGATTTTGATTGTGATTGATATTGGTAAAATTTTTTTTATTCCAAATTTTCTAAATGTCGAGTTGAAGGCCAAAGCAATTTTTTCCTTCTTCTCATGTTGAAGTTTTTGAAGCAATTTTTCTTCATATAAAGACAAATAGATTTTATTTGTATTGACATGAAAATGCTCTAAATATTTTGAAAAAGATTAATTTAATATTTAAATAATTTTTATTTGAACAATTTATAACATTTTAAATTTTTTTAGCAAGCAAAACAACAAAAGTCTTTTGGCTAATTAAAAATTTTATTGTGTTTAAGCACACTGTTTGATCAAATTTGAAAGTAATGTGGAATACAATTTTCATTTAAAATAAAAATATTGAGATCAAATGCCATTTATGCACATAAATTTAAAATAATTTTCATTAAAAGTTGCGTGAATATTGAGAGTTATTTAAATCATGTAGAATATCCTGATGTAAGTTCCGGAATTTTGCATATGTAAGAAGAAATATAAATTCATACTTTTATGTAAAACATATCAGATACATTTTGTGCAGAAAATAAAAGAATCGCATCAATGAAAAAGAAAATAAGGGAGATTTCGATAATCACTAATACGTTTATATAATGTTATCGACTCCATGTATGTGCAAAAAAAATTTGGTCTGTACACATGCATTAATGTGTCCTTTGATCAGATCTCACGAACAACATCAAGGTAATCATTTGTTAGACTTAGTTCAGTATACGTTGCAGTTCCGTTGATAGCTTGTAGTGGTGTATAATTCTGTAGGGAGGGTTGAGTTTCGATGATTTCTGATTGATTACACAAACAGTCCGCTCGATGAATCTCAATGCTTTTCTTGTTGTTTTCTTGTTTGGGAGGAAACACAAGTACATATCTTTCCCCCTTATCATTTATTTGGATCTTGTTAGATTTGTGAGATCTGAAATAAATAGAATAATTTGACTTTTCCCCCTATTGTTAAATAACAATCTAGATAAAAATATCAAGGGTATAAAAAAGAGAAAATAACGAAAAAGATTCAGTTGAGCCTTTTCTATGTGCTTATCATCCCTACGATATTCATTATTTATTTATTTCTAGGAAGGAACATATCAAATCTTCCAGTTCAATCGACCAATTCATATGTAATCCTTTTTTCTGCAGCAGTCAATTCAAATAATTCAAACTTTGCCATTAGCCAAAAGTACGGTTGTTTCCGATACAATAAGCTCCAAATAAGTTTGGTAAATTTTTTAAAATCATGATCGTTAGGTTGATTTTTGAATTATTATATTAGTATAAACCAAATGAACAAGACATCGATCTAGGTTTAAAGATGGACGAACTTAACTTTAAACCCTCAAAAGAAATTGCGGAAAAGTTTTAGAATTAGAGAAAAATTGATTTTGATTTAATACTTACTCCCCATTACTCCCCATATTGCCCCGTGGAGACCCGGGTTAGAATAGGTCCTCAATACCCCCTTGCTTGTCGTAAAAGGCGACTAAATGGGGCGGTCCTTCGGATCAGACCGTATAAACCGAGGCCCCGTGTCACAGCAGGTGTGGCACGATAAAGATCCCTCCCTGCTCAAAGGCTTTATATTTAAGCATAGGCCTAAATTTGCAGCCCTTCACCGGCAATGGTGACGTCTCCATATCAGTGAAATATTCTGGAGAGGGACGTTAAACAGTATAGAATCAATCAATCATTACTCCCCATATTATTTTTTATCAAGACAAATTCAGTTTTTGTTAACCTAAATGAAATCTATTAAGAGAAAAATCGATATGCATCAAACAGAATTAATGATTCAACACGTTGTTTGCAAATAATGTCATTATAACAATCATTGATGCTGACTTTAATTGAGGTCGTTGAAATTTGTTTTACATAAACTTATCGGTAAGTAACAGTGATCGAAAACAGCTAAAACACGAGAGTAATCATTACAGGTTCCACTCTAAGGAGTTTGAAAATGATAATTAACAATTCTGTTTACGACATAACACAACAAAAATATTACCTTTCTTCTCCCTCTCAATGTCAAATACGATTTTGTAAAATAAGTTAGTTGATCTTGAACAGTTGAAAACTTTCCGACCAATATGTTTCATTAAAAATTTGCCTGATAAAAGAAATATGACTGGGTTACCGAAAAACACGTATTGTTTTACTGTGCTTGTCAAAATTTCAAACAAATTGTAACAACAGGCAGTGAAATTAAGTACAATACTAATGTCTAACAATTTTTATGAAACGCATCAAACAAAATATGACCCAATGGGTGTAATATTTGTGAACAAAGCAATCATGACGGATATAGAACTCACGAGATGCTGACTTGAAATGACATTGTTGAAATCACTGAAACATCACTTATCTGTCAGTAGCCTGTCTATGTTTAAAACTTGATCTTTCTGACAAAGCATAATGTTTAGTACCAGATAAGTTGGGAGACGTAAACATCATATGCATATGAAAGCGAAATAAACAAGGAAGGATGATGATTGAAATGCTGAAGTCGTCTTGTTTGTCATACAATAGTTTGACAGTTTTTAGATTGCCCTTCACTACAGTCAGTAAACCATTCAAATATGGAAACAGATGTAGGAGGCTCAATGCTGAGGTTTATAATAATTTTACTTGAACATTTATCAGAAAGACAGAAATCACATCCAATCTATGAATTTTTGTCAATGAAGAAAAATGATGAATAGGACAAAACATTTCACAGTGAAGAATATAGAATGATTTTTAATGTTTGAATCTTTGTATTAAACCTACCTCTGTTTACTGATCAGAAATAATACGAGTAAAATTACAATGACACCAATGGAAATTTGTATAGCATCTAATAATCCACCGTATAGCTTGCTTGCTGAAATAATAGAAAATAAATTACACATTATAGAAAGGAATAAAGTACAAGTATCATTTTTAAACAAACGGAAATGTTTTCTTTCTCTATAGAAAACTTAAAACAAGAAGTGTTTGTGAAACATTATTCGCCCGGTGGGAACAAAGTTCCAAAAAGCTATTTTCCGGATATAGGTCACATTCAAGGTCACAAGGTCATTGACCTTGGTATCATTTTAACGAACTAAATTAGTGAAGTATGCATAACAAATATGAAATATCTATCTTCTATGGGTCAAAAGTTATGGCGAAAGTTCGGAAAGCTATTTTAGCACATAATTATTGTCATAGCCAAGACCACTTTTGTCATAGTCAATGATCTTGGTGGCATTTGAAAGAACTTAATTAGTGGAGTATGCATATTGAATATGCAGTCATTAATCATTTTGTATATAAAGTTTGGCGAAGGTTAAAAAACAGACAACAGAGAGACAAAACGATTTAACAAAATTGAAAAATTTCAGGACAAAACAATGTACGCCCCGATCTATCGATCAGGGCGCACAATATTCTTTGATACATATTTTACCTCTCTGAAATTGATTTTTAGATAGTACGCACAAATTTGTGAATTCAATGTTGGTTTCCTTTCTACAGATATCATCGAAATAACTTCTCCGGTTGATGTTTCCTGTTCTTGAAATGCTCGCCTGATACCATTCGGTGATTTCCCCATTACATCTATACTGGTTGTTTTACGTGTTGATTATTATATGTTTGAATTTGTTCTCCAACCTGATGTTTTACTACACTGGTTGAACGTGTAGACACAGGATCCTTATCTTGAACAGTGCTCGTCGATTTTAATTCCTCGCAATCAATTGTCAGGTTCCCTTTAAAGCATGAGAATTACGAAGAAGAAGTACAAGTATTACGTCAGTCATTTATTTATAATTCTATGTAAGAATGAAATAATTACCCAATACTTTAATAAGTATATAACTTGATGCAGATTTTCCCTGTGTACGAATGAGCAACTTCTTAGTAATCACTTGAACTTCCACTCCATAGAGACTTACACTAGGGTGATTGTGCTCTGAAGCATTGAAATAAAAATAGAATATTGATTTATGTAAATTGCACTATTAAAATAATATATTTATGAAAATATTATATTAATATGAGTTGATAAATAAAAAATATATAACAAAATCTGTAATTACTTTTTAGAGAAGGATACTTTTTATAAAGAAAGAAAATTTTAAAACCATCAAAAGTATCTCGTATTATATATCTTACCATACAAAGGCATACTTTCATTGTAGATGGAAATTTCAACCATATTTGTCTGTAAAATATGAACAGGTGAAATATTACCAATGATGTCACACGAACAGTTTTCTCTGTCACCAGATAACCGTAAATATACATGGGGACTTCTGCTGTATTTTCTATCTGTGCACATATCAATGACTTGGTAATCTAAAAAATAAACTTGCTGTTAATTAACTGAAAATTAAAGTAGAAGAACTGTCAAGAAATTGGGAAATTTCTTTTCCTATTTAGAATTACCTTGAATACATTCGTAATCAATGCTTTGTCGAAATTTGGCTTTGTTTAAATCCGATTGATGTGATTGACTGCATGATTTGCGAAGACCTGCCTCTACATCTTTAAAGTATTGAGCACTCACATGGCACTGAATTTTACCATTGCAATCTCTTACAGCTGACGAAAAAGCTGAATTGTTTTGTCTAAGTGTTTGGTTGATAGGAAGTTTGACACCACAATAAAGGGCATCTGTCTCTTGACATCCAAAGATCGGGGATGATGACTTGTGAAATCCATCCTCTATGATATGGTATTTGATATAAATCGTATGATTTTTGGAGCATTGGAATTGGTAACCGTTCCAGTCATGTGTTCTCTTACACTGGGTGTTCGTTAACGAACCTTTGGATATAAAGAAAAAAGTTCTCATTTGAAACACAGATTGTTGACAGTAGAAAACAACAGATTGTTTGATCCTGACTTTCAACTGATACGTTTATATAGTTGTTGCACTTTATACACTATTTATTCATCAAATGTTACATACGGTTACAGTTGGGGGGTTTTTTTGGGGGGGTCTCACAAAAAGTTTCTCATTATTTATCATAAAACTATTTACAATTGATTTTAAAATGAAATTTAAATTAACTAAGTTATATGTAAAATTAAAAGTGACAGATGCAGTTAGAATCTTATGAAAAATCATGATTGTAAATATTCTTTAAAATAACAAAAAGGACTTTTTATTTTAAATGAGATTTTCTCTTTGAATATGAAATAAAGAAAACTCGAACAATGAACTTATATCAATGTTAAATAAGTAATGTGACACTTAATTGTTATTTACGTAAGGGATAAATAACGAGATTGTATTGAATAGTTTAGAAAAAACATTCTCTCCGAGGGCCGAAGGTCCGAGGAGGGGATGTTTTCTCTAAACTATTCAACACCATCTCGTTATTTATCTTATTTTAAAAAAATTCCTTACTTTGGGATCCAAAGAAACATTTACCCATCCAAATATCTAACTTTGCTGTAATACAATAGGATGTAGCCCATTTAAATATCCAACCGTGACACAACACAATACCCTAATAGAACACCCCTTTTATTCATAGACTAATGAGCATGAAACTACATGGTGCTGATGTCATTTCAACCCTCATCATTGTTCTGAAAGGTCATGGAATCAGACGAAGAGTATTCTTAGATCCGAAGTAAATTAGAGAGGTTCAGGTGTTTTTTTTGAATACCATTGACCTGAAAGCTGAAGAAAACTACAGAATTTTGATAAAAGGTTGGAAATTTGTCATTACTTATTATAAGATGATGGTTTGTTGAGGAAAAGTGTAGGATTCTTATGGAGTTCCATTCGGACAATACTTATATAGTGCTTAAACAGATTAAAAGATTAGCGGTGTTAATTATGCGAATCCAGCTTTAAAAACATTCCATATGATATAATCAGGATCTGCAATAAAAGCGGTGTCGAAAAATATAGATGGGCTGTCAATTAATTACGTTGTTTTGGGAAGTACGCCGGAAAAGTATGAAACAGATGAATCTCGGATAATTTAAAGGAATTTACTGATAACGGACCCTGGAATAATATTCAGCAATAAGAAGTGATATGTAGTTTAAGATTTAAGGTGAAAATGTATTTAAGTGTCAAAAAGTGATGCTTTCAAAATGTAAGACCGAAAACATTTCTAAAAGTGTGGAAAATTCGGAGGAATTGTTATTTCTGTGAGGACTGGAAGTGCATTTGAAACACGATAAATGTGATAAATGCGAATTAATAACGGAATTTAACTGGAAATTAATTCTGATAGTGTGGCAAATTTGCAGTAATTATTATTTTTAATGTGCACTGGAAATACATTTTAAAATTGTTTTATCTCTTTTGTTCATTGTTTTTTGTTTTGTTTTAAATATCCAACCGATAGGCAGTTGGATATCTAAATATCCAACTGATTGCCAGTTGGATCTTTAAATATCCAACTAGTGCTGGTTGAATCGGTAAAATATACGTAGACTTATAACAATGGGTGACGCCATAGAAGTTTTTTAAATATGTTTATTACTTTATAAATACACGGATGAAAACCAAGAATCTTACGGATTATTCCACGTAACAGGCTTGCATTTTCTTAACAGTGACTAAAAAATATTCATACAAATAAAGAATTAAAAATGTTTATTGCATTATTACAGTCGGCGGCTTTCAAAATGAAAAGTAACACGGAAGTTATGAAAATGTGGAACAGTAAACAAAAATCATGTAAGGATGTACAGAAATGAAATGTGAAAATAACGAGCTTGATAATTCGAGAAGTTCATTTAAAAAATATAAACTTTAAGCAGAACCAATTCAGGCCTCTGGAAATAAAGAAAAGTGTCACGGACGACAAGGCTGACGTGTGATGTTTTTTTCTTGGCCGGGTAAACAGAAAATTTAAGGCAACATGGGTAAAAAAAATTGAATTTAAACTTTTATCAACATTCGACGTAATTGCAGACTTACAGAACGATTTATTTGCAAACAAGTTCATTGTAACGATCGATCGACTTTAGAATTAGAAAAAGGTTGACTTTAAACAAATTTGTTGATATTTTGTATTATTAATTTCTTCGTGTAAAGCCATATTCGTGAAAGAAATTATTCGAATGTAGACCACGCTCTTGTGTATCGAATCAACTTCGAAACATGACCTCCATATCTTTAAGACAAGATTTCAATCTGAATTGCCTAATTATTTTCCGTTTGCTAGTTGATGACAAGAAACTCACGGCAGGTGTGAAGGGTCGACAGGGAACTTCCTAATCCTCCAAGGCACGTAATTGCCTTTTCTAGTGTTTTAAGAGGCACGTGTTTGCTCTGCTCTAATTTCGTACTTTGTAATTGACTTTTGAGCTTTATTGCTGTTCGTTACCTCCATGCATATTTCATTTGATCAAATGAGATAAAATTGGTATAAAGAACTATATGCGGTATATTGCATATATTTGCCCCCACAAAAGTCAAATTTTGAAAAGTTCCTGAAATGTGCTGAATTCAATAAATTGTATGAGAAATATAAATTAACAGAAAATATTATAGTGTCAAAGCAGTGTATTCACAATTTTTGTTTTTATGACGTCACAAATTAGTCCGATTTTACATCCTTTTTCAGAAAGAGGGAAAAAATGAACAATTTTCAACAATTTTAGCTTTAAAATTTATAGAGCATATTTTATATGAGAATATTGACATATTTATTGATACTTATCAATCTACACATTATATCAAAATATTGATCCTGAACACACATGCGCTCGGAAACTGTTACGTAAAATATCGACGAAATATGTACTTTTTTTCTGTAAAATTCATTTAAAAAAAACTGAAATTTACGTCATGTTTGTGACGTCATTACGTACATATGCATCATTATAAAAATATAATAGTGCTTTGACATTTTCAGCATATACTCCCCTGTTTAAGAACTTAATTAAATATATCTCCATCAAAGTTTGCTTTGGGGGGCAAATATTGGTTATTACCGAATAAAGTTCTTTAGAAATTTGGGGTATTTTATGAAGAAAGATAACAGAATTACTGTAAATAGTCTTTACGAGAGAGATTGTTTTTTTTAGAAAAGCTTATAATAATTATTTGGAATATTTCATTAATTAGGTATATCACTCGTCAGCTTTTTAGGAAAGTTCAGACAGAACCTCTTACTTCAAAACTATTTGTTATAATTCATTTATTATAACATATTCAAATTAAACAATGTAAATTGTTCAATATTCAATGAAAAAACTGCCCCCCCCTCCCCCCAAAAAAAAAAATCAGAAAGAAACAAGATTTATGATGGACTTTTTTTTTTGTGGTGGAAGGGATTTTACAAGAAAATTAGGCAAATCTGCACATCTATTAAATTTAACATCTTTGAACTCACATACTTTTACTCAGACAATATTTTCCATTTTGATATGCTAGGAATATTAAATACATGTCTCAATTTATATTTTTAGAATAAATTTTACACCTTCCCTCAACAATTTTTCCCGAGAAATTAAGATAATATTAAAGAAGTCAAGATAAAATTGACATTTTTAAGCCTGCAAATTGCATATTTTGACCAATTATTCAAAATTTACATCACTGATTCCAACTTTCTCTTTCATAATTTTAAACTACTCAATGCTTGTGACTGAGCAGCACTTTAGTCGTTAAAAGTTTGATACAAGAAAATATTTTATTGCCTACCTAGATTTTTAATACCCAAATATGTTACTTTTTAGTTAAAAAAGGTCACACAATAATTTACGCGCATTAATTTGCAAGGTTTGTTTAATGATAAATATTATTCAGACGATTTTACGCAAAATAAGATGATATTTATTGCCATGGCTGCATCTGATAAAATATGATGAAGGTGAAAGTGATAAACCAAATAGTTAAATTTTAAGTGCAAAAAGGTCAACTTAATTGTACTGTAGCTCAGTAAGATACACACTGCCCCCTGTTTTCTCCGCTATTTGAGTTCTTATTCAAAAGATACTTCTCAAAAATCCTTGATAAAACAAATTTAGAGAGTGACATACCTTAAGAAAATCTTTACCTTGAACATCTAGAATGAAAATGAATACAATGACTCCTAAGGCATAATACATCCTTTTATTTATCAAATTGATGAAATTATTGCATGCAAATCACATTAATGTTAAAAAATGGAAAACGTATTTTGAATATATAATATAAATATATGCGTTATTTATATATAACAATTACGGTATCTTCCTTGTCATGTGAAGAGGATTTAAAAGTCCAACACTTTCTGAATGAGTAGGAGTAAAAATAGGATCGGTAGAAAATTTAATGGGACCCGCTTAATTGATCGTTAATTAGTCTTTGTAAGGATTTCTATGAAATTTTAGACTTTGATTTATATGATCATATGCAACTTCACTTTATTTCCTGAATCTATATGCAAGCGAAAATAGATATTTTTTTTTACACCTGTTCCAATTAGTTCAAAGTTAAGGACAATGCTTATTTTGTAAATTCTAAGTGAGTTCTCTTTTAGAACCATTGATTCCAGGGAAAAAAAATCTCTATGGACTCATCCATTACGAAACATTATTTACAGTTCTAATATGTTTATACAAGACATGATGCGATGGGAGTTACACAATTAACTTATATTGCATTACATTTATCAAAAAAAGATGTGTTTGTGAAACACTGATGTCTACGTATGACAACTTTTGGCAAAGGTGAAGTTTTGAAATGCAAATGAAACTCCAAGGTCAAGGAATTAATTTAATGTTGTTACCCAAAAGAAAAGAATTGTTCTTAATAAATATACTTGTACTTTTGTATGAACTCTTAGCACTATTTAAAGGTTATGGTCAAGGAAAAATTTTGTAAAGTAGGTCAAAATCCAAGGTCAAGGTCACTGTCACATGGAATACATATGTAAAGTATGAAGGTTCTAGTAATCATTGTTCAAAAGCTATATCCAAGGTTTAAGATTTTTAAAAGTTTACCAATAACAAAAGTTAAAGATATTTATATCAATGTAAGGTCTAATGACAATGAATATACACGTGAAGCATGAATTCCATAGCACCATGTGTTCAAACTTTATGACCAAGGATAAAGCTAGGCAAATTCTTGCAAAATTTGCTCAGACTCCAAGGTCAAGACCAAGAAGTTAAATATTTTGATACATAAAGAAATGCTTTGTCGCAAGAACCACACACGTGGATTATGACAGAACTACAGTTGTGTGCCAAAAGTGAAGAACATTTTGTTTTTTCTCTATATATTTCATTGATAACAACATTTTGTAATACCACTGGCAATTTCTATGTAAATGTCAATTTTTGGCATTTCTCTAATAATTAATTGTGTTGGAGTTTTCAAAGGCAGAACAATGTTGTAAGTTATCTTTTTAAAAAGATCATTACATATTAAACTTTTAGTAAAAGATAGTTCATCACTTAACTCAGTTCTAAAATTCAAGATCAATGTGGACTATATAATTAACTGGAAGTATGTGTCTTAAAATTCTTGTCACACTTAAATTATAATATTTTTAAAATATTGATGCTGATGAAATACAAATTGTTGTTTTCATCAACTACAACATATAACTGATGTAAAATAAAAATTTAAAAATTACTACATGTATTTAGAGAATTTTGAAACCCACTTTTAAAGAAATATTTCTAGTTTAAACGATTAATAATGCAAATGTCACAAAAAATGAAAAAAAAAAGTATCAAGAAAACTGAATATGTTTTGTTACAAGTTAAAAAGGAAATGTAACTTCATATTCACTTTTAAAAATAGAACAACTGGGTGTATAAGACGCAAAGGAAAAAAGTAAACATTTATGATCAGAACATTTCAATGTAAATGTCTAGTTCTTCAATTATGCTTGTCAATTCTCAAAATCAAAACCCATATATGTTCTGTAATTGTGTTGACCCCACGAAATGTAAAATAAGGGAAAACAAATTAATTTCTCTTCTTCAACTGATTACTAAAATAGTAGCACTTTACTTGCTCGATGACTGAATATCTAATTAATTTATCATAGTTTACCTCCGTTGGAAGATCAAAAATAATACCAGTAGAATTATTATGGCAGCAAATACAGTGAGAATCCAGTGAAAAACGTTAATTTCCAAATTTTCTGGAAAAGAAAATGACAGAGAAACCAGGTGTTAAAAATGCAAATAGCATTTTTTTTTTAAATTTAGCATTAGGGTACTAGAATCGACTTCTCTACCTTTACCTGAACCTTTGGCAGTTTCAGTTTTTTCATGAAAAGGTCCGACATGTAATGTGCCGCTTGAAATTTTTCTCACTAGCATATAAATAAAATATTTAAAAAATTATTAATGTCATGTACTTTGAAAGGAATATATAAAATTTCAAACCATTCGACAGAACTTTCTTAGTCAGAATAGTTAAAACTCACCAAGAAGTTTTACAAGTACGTAGCTACTATAATCAAACCCTTGCATTTCGAAATATAACTTCATATTGTATTGTTAAAAATACACCAATCCTGGGCTCTAAGTGTTCTGTAAAAGCAAAAAAAAAAAGAACTCTTAAAGTTAACAATTTATATATGATCAGATAATTTCGAGATGCAATTGTGTACAGGTGATGGTGCTCTTTTGTATTTTGCCATCTTAAGTATTCAGGATACAGGGAATTTCAGTTTGGCTTATCTGTACAGATTCATAGTATTCATGTATTATCTCTTGGGTTGTTATGTATCGAGCTGATGTTTGGTGTAGGAGGAGAAATCAGCCCTTATATACTAGTAACTGAATAAGCTTCATTTAAAGCCGCTTGGTCCGATTCTAATCGCTAAAAAATATATTCGTTTTTCTTCTTGAAAAATAATTGTCCATAAATTATTTAAACTTTTGTCAATTTATATCCCAAAGTCTTTTTCTTTTTAAAGATATCAAAATTCAAAAGTTAAAAAAATAATTTTTGTTAGGCACACAATAAATAATCCTTTGTTGAAAAACGTTGCTTTCCAAATGTTCTTCGAAAAATTAAATTTATCGCTTACATGTATAACTCGAAAGAAAAACCCGGTTTTTTCCACAACAAAGTGTACAAAAAAAAAACCCCCTTTTTTCCTTTATTCTGTAAATACGCATATTAATATAAAAATTACAATGGATTATATTCAATTAATTCCTTAATTTTTAAAAGATATATCATGACTTAGGATTCTACTAATTGAAAAATTGCCGGGTTGAAATTTTTCTCACTAGATATATCCGAAAAAGTATTTTTTTTTCAAAGGTGACTTCAACAATGTTCATGTAAATATAAAATCACTGAAATCGTTTTTCCATGTAAGGATTGTTGTAATAAACTATTAAAACAACTTACCAATTAGTTTTTATATATTATCTATGTAATGCTACTATAATCAAATCCTTGCATTTCGAGAACAAGACCAATTGTCTGTATAGAAATTTGCACCCCATACAAACCAATACTGGACTCTAAGTGTTCTGTAAAAGCAAAAAAAAATTAAATGTTTTCAATGAATTTTAGTGTTGCGTAAATATAAATTTTGAGATGCAATTGTGTACAGGTGATTGTGTGTTTGTGTTTTATTTTTATTTTACAATCTTAAGAATCCGGATATAGAAAATTTCAGTTTGACTTATCTGTATAGAATCTAGTATTCATGTTTTATCTCTCAAGTTGTTATTTATTAAGTTGAAGTTTGCTGTAGAAGTCGAAATCAGCCCTTTTGTAATTGAAGAAGCCTCACCATAAACAGGATGGTTTTGGTAAAGTAGGCGCAAAACAGAACTGTAGGTATGTAAAATTTCTATTCCTGATAGCTCGCCAATCAAAAGACAAGAATGATTTCTATTCATCACAGAAAAGCGTAGATATATATCGTGAAGTTCAGATTGATTATCCACGTCCACTTCTCTTACACAGTTATCTACTACGTAGACATCTGTAAAAAAAAATTAAAATAGTTTAGAGGATAAATTTTTAGGTTTTTGCTATACATTATCATTGTTATGAGAAATTGTCGTTTAGGAATACCTGGTATGCATTCATATTCTATTCGCTGAAATATTGACGTATTCGGGTTTCTGCATAAAGCGCCATTCTCTGATTCAATTTTTTCAAAGTAATCCGTGAACAGGACACACTCCCTTTTGCCGTTGCACTTATTTACAGTCTTTGTAAATGGTGTCTGGTAATCTGTGATTGTTTTACTGAGCGGTAAGGAGTAACTACAAGAGTTTACTTTCTTTTCATCATATCCCAAAACTTCCTCCTGACAGCTTTCTCCAATATTGTGCTGTCTTATATATATCGTCTCATTCTCGGAACATCGAACTTCGTACTTTTTCCAGTACTGTGTTTCCAAACAAGGGGAGCTGTGCGTGGTACAATCAGCTTTAAATACAAAAATCAAACGACAAAAAATTTATCAATATGTTCATCTTGAATGAATTTTGAAAAAATGAATAAAAGCATTCAGAAAAATGACCCATTCAGTAATTTAAATCAAAATGAAAAGCAAACTTGAAACTTTTTTCCAAGTATAATTTTCTTGGTCTTGTGAAACGGAGTAGAAGTGTGGCATCTAATAGAATACAACAATAATAAATAATTTATTTCTACTTTGTAAAATCTGATAGCTGTTTTTTAAACATATTAATAGAATGAGATTTGATAAATATTTAGAAAGCAGATACAGATAGATGACAGTGAAAAAGAGAAACCTTGCTGGGTTATCCACATCCAATGTGATCAATTGGAAACAGTGCTGAAAAATCATGATACTGTACCTTTGAAATTCAAAAGAAAGTTCAGTATGATAAATTCCAAAGTGTGCAGCATCGTCAGTCACTAATACATGTAACGCCCTTCAATACCTCTAAAATAAGTCTAATGACTTTTTTAAAATAGAAACAGCTTCGGGGGTACTATACATGCGACCTCTATACAAATTTGTCAGCTTTGAAGATTTCAAAGGTTCCAACCACGCGTGGAAATTAAGTCTAAATCCGAAATAAAAGATCGCGTTCAAGTACCAGCTGTTCTCTCTACAATTGCCGAATAACTCCTTGATATTTGCACCTTACTTTGACATCACTTGACTTTCAAATAATTTAAACTTGTTGAAAAGAGGAAATTGTAGATCATTTCTATATCAGATGTTGAACGATTCCACGAACTTTGTCATAAAGCATCACTCAATTTAAGATAATAAAGTGATGTGGGAAAATGTTATATGACGCAAAATACTTTTTAAATGATCATTTATACCTTTTGTGGCCTTTATTTCACCGCTTTTTTGTTAAGAAACAGTTTTAAAAAATAGTGAAAGGGGTTAATTGCTAATCGTAATCAATCATTCTGATGCTTAAATATCATTGAAAGGATATGGAGATAACAAACAGTATTCAATCTCAAAATCCATAAAACAATACAAAATAAGAGCAGAGCAAACACGGACCTCCGAAACAATCCATCATGAAGAAGACTATGTGTTTTTATCGACCATAGATTTTGTGAAATATTGAGCTAAATCAAGATGGTTGATATTTCTGTATCATCAACTTATTTGTAAATAGCTTGCCTTGTTTTAGAAAGTGTTTGTATGTAGAACGTACTATTGTGTATCAAATTAAGTGGGAAACATTAATTCCATATGCAAATGATAATGGTATATTGCAACATAAATAAGGGGAGTTAACTGATTGGTTTAATTTTTGTTAGTTGAATTTGAAATAGTCAGTCAATACAGCTTGACCAATATTCTCCATACAGAAATGAATTATTTAGATCTTTTAATGCAATTTTTTTAAAATGATAATATATTAGAATTAAATAAAAAAAGAAATTATAGAGTAGAAAAATATAATTATAATTTTAAAGAGATGATTTTTATAACTGTTTTTGCAAATAGATAGAAAATAAACTATAGCATTTATTTTGATTTTCCCCTGATCAAAAGTATAAGGCAGTTTTAGGTGACATCTACACGTAACACAGAAGACCCAATCACTTGTATCTCTAAGGAGTATGAATTTAAAGAGCTATTTGCAGTTTTTACCAGCAAAACGTATGCTTACGATATTTTTATTATGTTTTATGTGAATACCAGGTTTTTTTTTTTTAAATCCAATAATAACAATTAAGCAATCGAAGTCTTTCAGCATTGTGCACTCTTTTTTTCCCCGGTAGTACATATATATAGCTATTCCAAATGGTTCATCCAATAATACAGTATGTTAAATTTGATATAATAAATACATGTATACCTATTCCTCGCGTTGATTTAGGGCATGATCTTTTGTTCCCACGAAAGTTTAATCAACATGATATACATGTATATAGTAACTGAGTCTTTTTCTTCCATTCGAAAAGGATTTTGTGCGTCACAAAATATCGGGTTTTCGAATTCATGTCATTTCTTTAATGAGGTAGAACACATGCAACCTCGCATCGATATAGAATATTATTTCATTTATTTCACAATTTCAAAAAAAAAAATCATTTGAACTGAAATTTGATTAATTTTCACTTTTAAATTTTCTCTGTGGTCCAGTTCAAATCTGGAAGAACTTCAATATACTTATTATATGGTGGCAATGTAAAGAGAACGGGTTCATCATAACTTGTAACACGATCAGTCTGTGTAATGAGGCTTGTGTACACAACTTCTTGTGGCTTTTCAGTTGATGCTTGCAAGTGAATCTTTTCCTTTCCTCTGCTCTCCACTGATGTCAAATTTTCCCTATCTTTCCATTATCGGAAGTTTCTGTGGACTTAATCCTCAAAATGAAAGGGGGAAAATTACTTTAGGTTATCAAATTTTTCAATTCATTATTAAGCTTTCCATGAGAGAGAGAGAGAGAGAGAGAGAGAGAGAGAGAGAGCGAGAGAGAGAGAGAGATTGTATATGTTTTTCATAGTACAAATAAAACAATACTTACTTGTTTTTTCGAGGTTTCAATTTCCAGATGAAAAGAGGTGTAACAACGAGAAAAACTAAAATAATACCTGTAACCAACCACCCATGATTATCTAGAATATGAAAAAATACGAAGGGACAGAGTGTAAATTGTCCTAAACACTTCTAAATGCCCTATAAAACATTCAAGTAAATATGAATTAATTTAAAATTCTTTCATGTCCATCTTATCAAAGCATATCACAGACTTTATAATTTACTGAACATAATTTTGACCTTTTCCTTGCATTTCTGTCACGTTTATCGAGTACCTTGGTCAGTTCCAAAGTCAGTACTGACTTGGACATTATGTGACAAATCAGCTGACCCAGTTGTAGAGAGCAGTGATTTAAGAAATCCAGTCTTGGTGTAGTTTCCCTCTATACTTATTTTGGTTGTGTCGATAGTCGGAGCCTCAGTTATAAAGACCATGGATTCTGCTCTGACGAGAGGTACGACTTTTTCTGCATCAAGGTAAAGTAAAGAAAAAATTGAATACTTTAAAAAAATTAAATAACTTAAATATATGTACTATAAAAGCTAGTGATATACGAACTCACCTTCAGCCGTTATTATTAATTTTTGATTTCTTTTCAATATCTTAAATCTATTATTGCCATAACTTATAAGATTTTTTTAAAAAAATTAGTGTACTCAACATACCTTCAATTAATACTTTCAGAAAAATCATACTTTCCAGAGATGTCAAGTTCACAGTAATGGAGAGACGGTCAGTTCTTATCGACAAATGACGTCCGTATACTATATCAGCTTCTTTCTCTGTTTTAAAAAAAGTTTCAGCAATTCAACTTATTCAATATGCAATATGTGCAGTTAAGCTACTTTATTATACAGAAAATTACTTACTTTCGGGAGGATTTCGGAACCGCTGGTTTGTCGTGATGATTGTCTTGTAGGAACTCAGAATTACCAATCCGGAGACAACCCCCTGTATTTCACACCTGCAAATCTTATTTGGACCCTTGGCCTTCATATAAACGTTTCCGTTGCGACTTACATTTAGATATTTACACATATCGATGACAGATCTCTCGTTTTCTGAAGAGAATCAATTTTAGATTTGATCATAATTTTTTTTAATCCAGATGCAAACATACTTCAGTTGCAAGCATCATATGCAATATTTTCTTTCATTTATTTATTTAAAAGAAAAATATTGTCAACAAATTGTTTAAACGTACCTTGTATGCATTCATATTCAATACTTTGACGAACCATCGCATTTGGATAACTCTTAAGAGATGGACAATCGTTTCGAAAGAAATTCTCACTGTCTTCAAAATACTTCTTTTTCAACGTACACATGTTCTTTCCATTGCAGGTGCTGACTGCGCGCTTGAAGATGGCCGAGTCCTCAGAGATTGTTGAGTTAATGGGGTAATGTTGTCCACATACCAATGCATTCTTAACATCACATCCAAATAATCTGTCAAGTGGCGATAGCTTCTGGAATCCATCTTCTATCACGTGACTTACAATGTAAATAGAGTGGTTGGTTTGACACTGTATATCATACCCATAGATATCCACGGTCCTGCGGCAGGGGAGATTATGAAGCGATCCAAATACTACAAAGGAAAAAAATAAGGTTTAGCAAAAAAAAAAAGATATATAATATTTTTATAATCAATTTAATACTTTTCTGTTTTGTTTAATATCTTTTAATGATTATAATATAACTTTCGAAAAATAAATAGAGATTTAAATTTTCATTTTCAAACATGATGACAAGCCTGAGTAAAAATAAATGTTTAAACAGTGTTGTTTTTTCCCTACGAAACCTAACTGGTTTTCTGAATTGATCTTACGCTTTCGGCAGTTGTCCGTTCATATTATGATGATTGAATTGGGTTTTTAAATACTCACCTTGAGGTCACAAAACAATGTTTTTCTTTTTTTTTAACAAAAATGTTTCCTTAAATTTCTCATACATTTCTTGCAGTACATGTAGGCCATTCAAGTTTCAGAATACACTTAGTTATGTCCTGTAGATTAGCTAGGGACCAAGGGACCAAAAGGAGGTTTAAAACGTCGTTTTGTTTTTTTTTACCAAAAAACCCCCATCTTCCTTGAACCCTTCAGTAACCCATTTATACATTGAAATAATTCCTGTAAGTGATTTGGGAATTTCGATTTTAACACTGAGAACATTTTGGGCAAAAAAACAACTATTTTTTTTCAAATTGTATAATCATTGTGCTTTCTTTTTTTGATATTCGAATAAGAAGAAGAGTACATTTGGAGGACAACGCCTAAGTTTGGGATATGCTATTTTTTTACATGTACATTCCATATAATATCTATTTTGCTTAAATGTAGCAAGCTATCTACAGCATTCAAAATACCAAATTACGTCACAAACTTTCAAAGCGTTATAAGCGAAAAGCGAAATGTAAAATTCACGCTCTCATTGAACAGACTCTGTTGAAATAGCACACTTCCTTTAATTGTAGCTTACCAGAGGGATAATGCCAGGATTTTGAATGAAACATATGGAGATAACGAACAGTATTCAGATCTAAAGTCCATAAAACAATACAAAATAGGAGTAGAGCAAACACAGACCTCCAAAACATTGGAGATGGGATCAGGTGCCATGGAGGATTGAGCATCCCCTGCCGATCGGTCACACCCGCTGTGTGCTCCTTGTCATGATCGGGAAATAACGGAAAAATCCGTCGTCAATTCAGTGTTTAAATAATGGGAAAAAATAATGGACTAACAATTAGTAGGAAAAACGTCAGTCAACATTTGACTTAATGAGATACTAGTATTGTATTTGCTGACAAGGTCATTGTATCGACCGTAGAACTTACGAATTATTATTCTTGTTTCAACAATTTGTTTGTCACTAATTTACCTCGTTTTAGAAATTGTTCATATGTAGAGTATGCTTATGTACGAAAGCCCAGAAGGCTCATTCGAGATTCGAGATTCGAAATACGAGATTCGAGATTCGAAATACGAGATTCGAAATTCGAGATTCAAAATTCGAGTTTCGAGATTCAAGATCTAAAATAACCAATCAAAAGGCGGTTTGAGATTCAATTACTCCCCTTTATTATTTTTTACTAAGAAATCGTTGATATTTTAATACCGAGGAGGTCATTTGATTAAATTACAACGCAAGAAAAAGTGTTATATATTATCAAAACGAAATTTAAAGAAATATCAGATTTTGGTCTGCAAGATATGCTTAATTAATTTATAATAGCTTCTTAAATGTCATAAGAGATTTATTTAAAGAATATATATATTTCGTGTTATCTACTTTGGATATACAGGGTTGTTGACATGATAGTAACCTTAAAATAGATTAACAGTAAAAACATAATTTTTTTTTACCATTGAAAATGTTCATCGAAAGGTAGGTTGCCAAGCCCCCCCCCTCCCCCTACGTTTTGCTACAGTGGTGCAGTATATTCAAAGAAGTTTAAGTAGTGGTGTATTAAAAGAAATTAGGTACTAAATGAAGTTCTTTCCCCCCCCCCCCCTCCCCGCCCCCTTCCACGCCCCGAAATAGGATTTTCGGGTTTGGACAATTTTTTTCTGTCAGTTTTTATTTTCAGGTTTGAAATAATATTTTTGTACCCCCCCCCTTATCCCACTTTCAAAATCGATGCTTCGTCTCTGTAATAATTAGTACTACGGGTTTCAAGGTGGACAGTGTTTGTGACACGGTATTAGAAAGTGGCCAGTGACCAAGTTTATGAAACCAATAAACAGCCCCTTAAATACGGATGGCTGAAACATGCATGCTTAATAAAGATAATGACCCTTGGAAATAATAAATTTGAAAAAAAAAATCATTGTTAATCCCCCTATCAAACCTCGAAAAATAGGGGTTATCATGGTATTTGGAAGTTATTTTTGAATGGACATAAAAATAAAGTTACTGTTTTCTATATAGTATATTATATCGGAAAAATATTACGGGAATGGCCAAGTGGGGGGGGGGGGGGCAAATGTGTGGTTATCAACATTCATTGTCAATCTTGCGATGCATAGATACAATAATGCGATAATTACGATACGATAATTACTTAAAAGGAAACCACTCGGGTCTCGCCCGACTTGGTCAAAGACTCAAATATACTAGTAAAACCACTATGCTCATTTCATGCACAGCCATACATGTTCAGTTTTCTACTACCAAAAATTTCTTGACAACCAAAATCAAAGCAAAAAAAGTCATCAGATGTTTTTTATAGAGGGGGCACAAAATTGAGGGGGCGCAAGCATATAGTAGTTATGATTTCTATAGTAGTTTATATATCGGCAAAATTATTGGGGGGGGGGGGCAAAAAATGTACCCTCATTACTATTTCATGTAAATAATATCTCCCTCATCAATGTTCTTATTAGAAAAAAAATGTCGACTTAAGAATTGCGCAATTCAACGATAAGACCATATAATATATCTATATACGTATCTATTGTTTTGTTTAATGAGGAAAAATAAGAATTTATATATATTTTCTAAAATGTAACCTAAAATTCCTTTTTATTTCGTTTTAATACATGTATCTTTTTTTCTTGCATTATCATTTAAGCAAATGACCCATTTTATATAAATATATTCAACGATTTCTTGATAGTAAAACATAATAAAGGGGAGTAATCAAAATTGAACCTGTCTTTTGATTGGTTAATTTGGATCCTCGTTTTCGAAAATTTCGTTCATTTCGATGTCTCGAATGAGCCTTCTGGGCTTTCGTACTTATGCGTATCGATTCAAATGAGATATATAAACCCCATATGCAGGTGATGAAGGTATATTGCGCATAAGTAAGGACAGTTGACGATAGAAAAGTTAAAGTCATCACGTTGCAGTCAAGGAAAAGAGTTTAAAAATAAAAATATAAGCATTGGATGATTATTTTTGGAAAAATAAAATCTCATAACTTCAACGATAAATGCAAACAATTAAGCATTGATTCGTTATTTTTTTTAAAGACATAACCTCATAACTGCACCGGTGTGTGCGAACAAATTGAGTAATGCGCTATGAAAATTTTGTTTGCATATTCATATCCAAAATCGCTGTATTATCCTCCTTTTTAATTACATTTAATGGAAGATCCATCTCATCAGCTTCTGTTTAATGTGATGAGGTTTAATTTTCGCTCATGACGTTGTACCACCACGCCTTTGAACGGTTGTGCCTTCAAAATAAAACGATTGCTTTATTTCTATCCGTGTCATGGTGTTTTGAATGTGTAGCTTTCCACAGACTATATATGCATGTTATATACATGTGGAATGTAAATATATTTCGTAATCCGCTAATGGACGCTACCCAATTTGTCTGCACACCCTATTGCAGTTTTGAGATTTATTCTTTCTAACCGATTCATGCTTTAATGACATAGTCTAGTTAAATTTCCTGAGGATGATGCAGTTAAAAAAACCAAAATGATAGGAACATAATTTATGGTTAATCTTACCTTGAAGCATCTTACTAAATAAAAGAAGAAAGGTAAAATCTCTGAACTTCTTTATGTTATTGTCAATACAATGTCTAGCCATTATTTTTCTGTCGAGATCTTTTATATTTATATGCTGCACCGTAAAGTTTCCTTCAATATTTTAAATGCAGCGATTATATATAGGATAACTATTTTGAATAGGCAATACTTCCCTTTGAGCTGACATACGGATTTCCTTGGGATCAGCAATTATTGCTAGCATTTTAAATTTTTGCTTCACTGCTCTATTCCATTGAGCTTAACAATAAATAGAGAATATTCAATGATTTTATTTTTCAAGAGAGCAGAGCACGAATGAAAATATATAAAGAGTTTGTCTCACGAAAGCTATCACCAATACGACAAGGCAATATTATCACCAATTAAAAATGTGATTTCAGCTATTCAAATAGGTGATATCACTGAAGAAGTAAATACGAAAACGGCCCCAAATAGTATTCTGTATTTGCAATAAACTCAATCGTAATATTGACGTAATCTGTTTAGATCACTTCGACGAGTCGAGATGAACATATATGCTATACCCCCGGCATCAGCCTTAGCGTCGACATCCCGGTTCAAGTTTTAGGAGCATGTCTATTACCAAGAATCTATAAACACTACTTAGACCAAACTTGGATGATGCAAACAGGGATAAACACTTCGAGACTTGATTCGGATGTTGGATCTGACCTTCATTTCCCAGATGAGTGACCAGGTTAAAATTTTTTAGCCAGGTCTACTCCCAAGTAACTATATCTCATACCTTGACCAACTTACTTGAATGATGCATTATAGGGATGGACACTACTAGACTTACTTCGGATGTTGGATCTGACCTACATTTCCCAGATGAGCTTTTAGAGCAGGTCTTTTTTATAGTTATTATAGGCTCTACCTGGACCAAACTTACATGGCTGATGCGGCTGGGGATGGACACTAGCAAACTTGTTTCAAATACTGGATCTGACCTACATTTCCCAGATAAGTGACCTGTGTAAAGTTCTTGGAGCAGATATATATTACCAAGAAACTATAAGTGCCACCTGGACCAAACCTATATGGATGACGAATATAATGTGAACAATACCTTCGGATGCTAGATCAAACCTACATTCCCCAGATGAGTGACCAGGGTATAATATCTGATATCAATAATTATACAGCATATAATGATCAATCTTTGCATCTAAGGATGGACTCTTCGAGAACTGCTCCAGAGTTAGAACTATTAAACGACATTTTATTAAATTGTTAAAATTGTTAACAGGTTACAGTTTTATGGAACATATACATTTCCAAGTAAGGGTTTGGGTTAGTGGAACACACGTCGATTAAAGTTATAGTTATTTCCATTTATATGTCTTCACGATATATCCCGTAGAGCCTGAAATAAAAGATATTACACAGTCTGTAACATCTGTTTTATATCTGGATCTTTTACAAGAAAAAGACGTTGATGTTTATCTAACAACAAAGCTTTATGATAAAAGAGATGACTTTAACTTTTCAATCATCATTTTTCCTTACTGAAGCAGAAATAAAACTTTGGTCACCTGGATACGGAGTTTATATCTCTCAGTTGAAACGATACGCGAGAGCATGCTCTACGTATGAACTATTTCTGAAACGAGGTAAGTTATGGACGAACATGTTGCTGAAAGAAGAATATCTGCATTTTTAAAGTCACTATTTCGTAAATTTTATGGTCGATACAATTCCCTTTGTCAGCAAATACAATTTATCACCGAGTCAAATGCTGATTGACGTTTTTCAGATCTATTATTATTTACATACTGAATTGACGATGGATTTTCCTGTTATTTCCCGATTATGACAAGGAGTACACGGCGGGTGTGACCGGTCGATAGGGGATACTCACTCTACATGGCACTTAATCCCACCTCTGTTTTGGGGGTCCATGTTTGTTCTGCTCCTACTTTGAATTGTTGTATGAATTTTTGAGCATGAATACTGTTCGTTATTTCCACTTTCTTTACATTGAAGAAAGAACGCAAACTAAAATCACGTCTTTTACCAAAGTTTCTTTTTTGATTTTTGTTCCTTGTTTTAAAAGCCTTTCAGTTTTGAAAATAAACGAACACTAGTATACCTAGTACATATTATGTATAACGTTAAGTTGCCATCTAGGAAAACTACTTTCGGCATTTAAGAGCTAAAATCAAAAATATGCATTCATGTATGAAAAGGACCAGGTCATACATATCCTAATGAACTTTATAACGATAATAATTATATATTTATATTTCAACTGCTGGTATATTATTTCATTCAATTCAGAATGAAATTTACTTGACGAGTGTTTCAAAATTTAATTTGTTGCCTGAATTAACGAACTCTATACTACCCCTAATGGTTTGAGTTTATAAAATTGGTAACTTTAGAATTCCAATTTAATTAATCTTTTAAGAAACAAGGAAAATAATCTCTTTTAGCTAATAAAAAGTTAATAAATGCATGATCTGTAAATGTCCAGACTAATTCATACAGAGTGTTATAAGAACTATATTATAAAAAATATTATTCTTATAATAATATAAGAAATAACAAGAGAAAATAACATCTCTTTTCATCATTTGCACAAATAATAAAAAGTATAAATATCACAAATCATAGCTTTGAAGTACTTGAAAAGAAGATTTTAAAAGGTTTCTATATATCCCTATGTAAAACTGTCCCATTTTGGCCCCACCCTAGCCCCGGGAGTCATGATTTGATAATCTACACTACCTGAGGATGATTCCACATGAGTTTCATCTTTCCTGGCCCAGTGGTTCTGGAGAAGAAGATTTTTAAAGATTTTTCCTATATATTCCTATGTAAAACTAGGGTCAGCCATTTTGCACAAATTTTACACTACCTGAGGATGATTCCACATGGCATCTTTCCTGGCCTAGTGGTTCTGGAGAAGAAGATTTTAAAGATTTTTCCTATATATTCCTATGTAAAACTTGGGTCGGCCATTTTGGCCCCACCCTTGTTTTGTTTGAATCATCAAAAATAATTTAGTGTGATTTTTCCTATATATTCCTAATTTCGTTGTTTTAAAACTTGAATCTTCACTACCTATGATTCCAATATATAGTGGTTCTGGAGAAGAAGATTTTTAAAGATTTTTCCTATATATTCCTAAAAACTTAGGTTTTTGGCCCCACCCTTGCCCCGGGGGTCATGATTTGAACAAATTTGAATCTACACTACCTAAGGATGATTCCACATGAGTTTCATCTTTCTTGGCCCAGTGGTTCTGGAGAAGAAGATTTTTAAAGATTTTTCCTATATATTCCTGTGTAAAACTTGGGTCGGCCATTTTGAATGATTTGAACAAATTTGAATCTACACTACCTTGCTTCCAATCTTTCCTTGCCCAGCGGTTCTGGAGAAGAAGATTTTTGAAAAATGCCATTAATTTTTTACAAATTCATGTATAAAAGGACGTTATAAAAAATGTGCCATTTGGTTGAAATTGGCATTTTAATGAAAATGTGAAAAGTTTACGACAACGACGACAACAACAACGACAACGACGACAGACAACGGACAAATTTTGATCAGAAAAGCTCACTTGAGCCTTCGGCTCAGGTGAGCTAAAAACTAGCTAAAACATTTACTGTACCCATTGAGTAGACAAATAACATTATCGGCAGAAGATCGTGTGAATGTGAACTAAATTCTTTTGAATTTGAATATTTAAATAAACACAAACAATAATTAATATAACTTTCATTTATTAAATTCACATAATTAAAACGCTGTAAATTCTAAGAATGTACATATATACTCGTATTGGTAGATACAAACAAATGAACGAGGGAATGATTGTTGTACAAGGTTGTTTCACAATTTACAAATGAGTATGAATATAAATAAAGATGTATAATAAATAAAAAGCAAATGTTTATCATTGAAAGTGAATAATGACATGGAATTATGATTCTTAATGAGCAGGATTTCTTGTCATCTCTAGTTTTGTAGGAAATTTGAAGGAACACAATTGCTGTAAATTTCAACCTGAAAAAAATCATTCTTTTGTAGAAGCTGTTATTGTATAAGTAAAAGCTAAGAAAATATTTCGAAATTTGCTTTGTTTGACATAGAAAAGTTAAAGACATAGAGAATTTAGAAATATCCATATACTTACATTATCTACTAAACCATTGAATCCAGAACCGGGTTTGGGGCAGCCCCCTATAAACATCGGGTTCGAGCTCGTCTCTATTCCTCCAGTAAGTTTCTCTGAGATGCTGTACCCATTTACTTCAGCAGTAAACGTATTGCCATCGTAGTGATATGATATTTCATTCCATTCATATGGCTTGAAATAAAATAATTTTGTGCAGTGGGCTTTTCCTTTGCATAATTTAAATAAAGAATTTAGAAAAACTTGTGAAATATATTTTTGCATTCTAGTTCATTCCTACTCGGTTTCCTTCTTAATATATTGAAATGAAATAAAACAAAACCGTTTTAGATGTAATAATAAATACTTACGACTATGTGATATTCTAAGATGGATGGAGAATTGGAATGCAAACTTTTAGCTACCAGTCTCGCTTTTTTATCCTGCATAGAGATTTCTACTGTTGGTAGACCTTCATATCCACAGTTAGAAACTAGCATCCCGTACCCTCCCTCTGTCTGGAGTGGCTTGAACCTAACTCTAACAGCAAATTCATCTCCAAGTTCTTTGTTCATAAAACCCCACAAAGTAATCTTTCCGTTTCCATTGAACTTTGCTGCGCCATTTTGAATAACTGCGTTTTCTACGTAGAAAGCCATGTTGGATCCAGAAAGTTCCCTGAACAAGTTTCCATCGAAATTCATCTTAAAGTCAGGTTTACAAACTGTTTAAGAGAGAGAGAGAGAGAAAAGGAATTAAATGAGCAGAATTCTTTGAAATAAAGTTTGTATAATTATTTTGTTGAAGAAAGCTGTTAAGGCTGTAAAGGAATATGAATGCGACTGTAAGCTTGATAAATTTATACCTTCTCGCTGTGGGTATGATCTGGTTTGCGTTGGATTCCAAGTACAGATACACTGACTGGCACTAAACGCTGTCCCGTATGGACATGCTCTAAATCGAAGACCACTGTGCTCTAGAGTAAGATATCCATAGGGGTTGCCACTATCTGGTAGGAACCTACACACTATATTTAGAGAGAAAAGACTCAAAAGCTTTTCTTTAGATGTGTTAATATGGGAATGTTCAGATAAATTCAATTTTAATACTTACTTAATGATAAATGCTCTGATAAATTCAATTTTAATACTTACTTTGTTGATTTACTCGTCGTCTTAAGTCGTCTGGAGTTTCACAGGAATCCATGCAAGAGCTGTCCGGAACACAGCCTTGACCATCAAAGCGGAATCCCTTATCACAGCAGGCTGGGACAGAAATTCCCGCTTCACAGGAATAATAGGACCTACATCCACCAGATCTTGCATAGGCATTCACACCAATATTGAGACATTGATCTGAAAATTGAGAGAACCAACAATTCATTGTAAACTTGTATACAGCTACCATGATGTAGAGAAGAATTATTTTTACAAAAACTTTTCCTGTTGTTGTTTTTCTTTAAAAAAAAAAAAAAAAAAATTAAAAATCAATTTGATATAGCGGAAAAAAATCATACCATCGTAACACGGCACTTTTTCTGGCGATTTACACATGGCGTGATCTTGATGCCAAAATAACCCAGCTGGACATTCTCTTAGAACTGCTTTTGTTTGATCGTAGTTGAAGTAACATTGAACAACTTTGTTACATTGTCCTGGATATGTGTTATATCCGATGCCATCAATAAAAACGCTATTTTGACACAAAGCTGTAAATAAAATTTGATAACACATTTCAATAACAGAAGGAAAAATAAAATGTATGAAAATTTAAAACTGAGAAAAAATAGCATGAAAGTATTAATAATTGTTTAAAAGTCATACTTTCAAGAGGAGGTGGGGGAGTAGTTGTTGTTACAGATGTTACTGGTTCAAAAGTTTCACGTTTCAGAGTTGCTGGCTTAGCAGTTATGTAACTACGAGTTGTTGGTGCCAGAGTAGTTGGTTCTGGAGTTGTGGGTTTTGATGTGGTTGGTTCTGTAGACGTGCCTTTAGGTGCAGTTGGTTGTGTGGTTGTGGGTTTAGGTGTGGTTGGTTCTGGTGTAGTTGGTTCTGGTGTGGTTGGTTCTGTAGTCGTGGGTTTTGGTGTGGTTGGTTCTGGAGTCGTAGGTTTAGATGTGATTGGTTCTGGTGTGGTTGGTTCTGGAGTTGTGGGTTTAGATGTGATTGGTTCTGGAGTGGTTGGTTCTGGTGTTGTGGGTTTAGGTGTGGTTGGTTCTGGAGTGGTTGGTTCTGGTGTGGTTGGTTCAAGTGTGGTTGGTTCTGGAGTTGTGGGTTTAGATGTGGTTGGTTCTGGAGTGGTTGGTTCTGATGTTGTGGTTTCAGGTGTGGTTGGTTTTGGAGTCGTAGGTTTTGGTGTTGTTGGTTCAAGTGTGGTTGGTTCTGGAGTTGTAGGTTCTGGTGTGGTTGGTTCTTGAGTTGTAGGTTTAGGTGTGGTTGGTTCTGGAGTTGTAGGTTCTGGTGTTGTTGGTTCTTGAGTTGTAGGTTCTGGTGTTGTTGGTTCAGGTGTGGTTGGTTCTTGTATTGAAGGTTCTGGTGTGGTTGGTTCTTGATTGGTAGGTTCAGGTGTGGTTGGTTCAGGAGTTGTAGGTTCTGGAGTTGTTGGTGCAGGTGTGGTTGGTTTTGAAGTGGTTGGTTCTGGAGTAGTTGGTTCTGGTGTGGTTTGTTCGAGAGTTGTGGGTTCAGGTGTGGTTGGTTCTGGAGTGGTGGGTTCAGGTGTGGTTGGTTCTATAGTTGTAGGTTCAGCTGTGGTTGGTTCTGGAGTGGTTGGTTCTTGAGTTGTAGGTTCTAGAGTGGTTGGTTCAGGTGTGGTTGGTTCTATAGTTGTAGGTTCTGCTGTGGTTGGTTCTGGAGTTATGGGTTCAGGTGTTGTTGGTTTTGGAGTTGTGGGTTCAGGTGTGGTTGTTTCTGGAGTTGTTGGTTCAGGTGTGGTTAGTTCAAGTGTGGTTGGTTCTGGAGTTGTGGGTTCAGGTGTGGTTGGTTTTGGAGTTGTGGGTTCAGGTGTGGTTGGTTCTGGAGTGGTTGATGCTGTAGTTGTTGGTTCAGGATTGGTTGGCTCTGGAGTTGTAGGTTCTGGAGTTGTTGGTTCAGCTGTGGTTGCTCCTGGAGTTGTGGGTTCAGGTGTGGTTGGTTCTGGTGTGGTTGGCTCTGGAGTTGTTGTTTCAGGCGTAGTTAGTTCTGGAGTTGTAGGTTCAGGTGTGGTTGGTTCGGGAGTTGTTGGTTCAGGTATAGTTGGTTCTTGAGTTGTAGGTTCAGGTGTTGTTGGTTTTGGTGTGGTTGGTTCTGGAGTTGTAGGTTCTGGTGTGGTTGGCTCTTGAGTTGTTGGTTCAGGTGTGGTTGGTTCTGGAGTTGTGGGTTCAGGAGTGGTTGGTTTGGGAATGGTTGGTTCAGCTGTGGTTGGTTCTGGAGTTGTGGGTTTTGGTGTGGTTGGTTCTGGAGTTGTGGGTTCAGGTGTGGTTGAGTCTTTAGTTATAAATTCTTCAGTGATTTTAGTTGCAGATTCTAGAGAAGTTAGTTTTGAAGTTGTTTGTTCAGGGGCGATTCTTTCTGGAGTTGCTGGCTCAGGAGAAGTTTGCTTAGATGATGTTGGGTCTGAGGTGATAGGTCTAAAAGAAGTTGTATCCTGAGTAAAGGTATCCTTAATGAATTTATCTGTAGTTGTTAATACGGGAGAAGTTGGTTCTGACGTTGTTGGCTCAGATGTGGTTTGTTCTCTTGTTGTAGGTTTTAGAGTAGTTGGTTGTGCAGAAGTCTCAACAGTAGTTGGTTCATATGTAGTTGGTTCTGAAGTTGTTTTTACTTGATTGGTGGGTTCTGGAGTGAAAAACTCTTCAGTGATTGATTTTGGACTTGTCGGCACTTTAGAAATTGGAACTTGAGTTGTGGGTTCTAGATTTGCAGATTCAGGAGTGTTTGGCTCTTGGGTTGTTGCTTCTGAAGTAAATGGTTCAGTTGTGATTGCGTTTGAAGTTGTTGGTTCAAGAGTGGTTAGTTCTTCAGTTGTAAGTTTTTGACTTGTCGAAAAAGCTGACTGCGGACTTTTGGTGGTATATTTTTGTATCTCTATAGTTTCATTTTCGGAGACAACTTCCTGCAAACCAACATTTGGGCCCTCAAGGATCACATCATGGGGCACTGTAATGTTTCCAAATTTTCGGATTTTCCCTTGAATTGGTAGATTTTGTTTATCAATATCTTTAATCATTTGCTGGTTTACTATTTTCTCTTGAATACTTTGTTCTGGTCTTGTTTTATCTTGTATAGTTGGAACCTGTGTTGTAGATTCTTTAATTACTGAAGTTTGAATTGTTGTGTCCATTGATGATAATTCTTGTGCTGTGGAGTCCCTTGATGTGGGTACTTCTACTGTTGCTGGCTTCTGGGTTGATTTTTGTGTTGTTTGACTTGGATTTATTGGTTCTAATGCTTCTTTCCTTAAACCTTCCCTATTTTTTACTTGATCCTTTACTTCATTTGGCAAAAGCATGTTGACAAAAGAATCTAAAGAAATGGATCCTGCTGAAGAAGGTGATTTACTTGGGCTCGTTGTATCAACAGTCTCTGTTACAACGGACACTTTCTCTTCAGGAATGTATGTGACGGTCGTTGTGCTGATATCGTTTATTCCAGGACTTGAAAGCAACCTGTTCAACTTGTCACCGCTTTCAGCAGTAGTTTTTGTTGAATTGTGGGTTGGGGTTTCTAAATCACTGTTGCGTGTTGGACTTGTAGTGGAAGGTATAAAATATTTTGTTGAATTTTCTCCTGTAAGCATATCACTGCCTGAATCAACTTTTTGTAGAACAATATCGGCACCTTCAATGATCACATTTGTGCTGTTTTTAATATTCCGGACTATATTTATATTTTGTTGTTCCAGACTTCTTGCAACAGAATCCCTATCTGTCTGAGATACGGTGTTAACGTCAGACGCTTCATTATTGTTATCTGCACGAGCTTTCGACTCATTTATCGTTAAATTCTGGATTTTGTTATCAATGGATTCTAAATGAACATTTTTCAAGTCTGACACACTGTCTCCTACCCGTGTCCAATCTTCCGGGGCTATGGAGTATATGCTTTCCTTCACTACTGGAACAGGAGTAGAAAATCGTGAAGCCGTTCCACCGACTGTTGTAGAAGTGGTTTCTACAAACTGAAAACCGTCACTTTTCCATAGGATATTCCCGTTAGCCTTAAATATTGGGTTCTGGTTTCCATGAGTTAATCCCATTACTATGAAAATCAAACAGCCCTTTAGGATTGTCATGGCGGACTGAAAAAGTACAATTAAACGTTTATGTAAGGCTTAGTGATATTTCTAAAAACTAAAACGTGATAAAATGAGCAATTCTAATGTATTCAGTTTGCACTTTTGTGCGTATTCAACTTTATGACCTAATAATAAAACAATCTGTGGCTTTATTCTTATTTAAAATAATAGTATATAGAAAATTTTCTTATGACATTACAAAATAATTTCCTGAAAAAAAATATTAAACAAAACATCAATGTATAAAAATAATTTCAGTTTATGAAACTATTCCGACTTTTTACTTACTATAGTTATAGAGGGATCTAGAATTATATCCACTCCCTTCGGCCTCTTCGGGGAATATATAGTCACACGCCTCCGGTCCGAAGTTTATACCGACCTCGGAACCCACCTCCCAGTAGAATGACTAAAGTCTTGGTAATGGTACCAACACATAATTCATATGACTGACAGCCCAATAATCACGTCCAAAACACGAAATCCATCAGTTAAGACGTTTATGATAATGAGCTGCACATCATTAGCGAAGCTAATTAATTCTTCATATAACCGAATCTAACATTCGAGTCGCGGTTCCGCCATAATTAAAATTCATTTCAATTTTTTTTGGAATTAATATTTACGATTTTCTTTTCTTACGTACATCTAAATTAAGAAGCCTACATTCGTTGCAACACTGCAAATATTTAGATGTGTGACGTACAGGTTGATACAAATTTGCCATATTCCAATTATCCAAGAATTCAAATTTATTTACAAAGGTCTATAGATAGATTGAAACTTTCAGAAAATTTCAACAGGACTTAATCATCAAAACCATAGTACTACTCCGTTCCAAGAATACTTATAGAATGAGAAAAGTTAAAGAATTCGTGTCATTTTTTAAGTTTTGAAAACCTTTCTGTCAAATTTTTTTTTCTAAATGAATGCTCATGATTGAAAAGAAAAGTTATTTCCTTCAAAATACGAGAATAATGATTCAAATACAGAACAACACTTATATACCATAACAAAACTTATATGCTATATAGATTGTCTCTAAACTGTTCTTTTTGGGGTAAGTATACTCAATAGTTTGATGGGCTTTTTTGTCTTTTAAATCTTAAGGTTCAGTATTTATCACTATAATGTTAAACAGTAATAATTTATTTCCTTTCATCGAGACGATTTGCCACAGAATTGATAGAAGGTGTATTTTATGCAAAGCATAATATTTAAATTAGATAATTATTAACTGCAATGATTAATCTAATGTTCAATGATAAAAGTATTATGATAAAACAAGTTATATTAATCGTCTAAATAGAGCAGCGATTAAAAGGAAAACACAACACAACAATTATATGTTACAACATGCAACTCTGATGGTGAACAAGATTTTCCCCTCTTTTTTTTTATCGTGAATCTGCTTAGTTATAAGGATGTAAACACCATTCTATAGTTGTGAAATTGCTATCAAATCTAACCATCATCTTTTAAGTTCTAAAATAGACATTTTAAGCAGGCCAAACAAGCATTGACTTGTGAAGAAATCTAATTATTTACGTCAATTGTTAATGTGATACTCTTTAAACTCAGATATTATATATAACAAAAAATTCTAAATCATGATCAGGGTACAGATTATAACATTTTTTAATTTCTAATTTAGAGCCCTAAAATATGGCAAGCCCTTTTACTATTTATTCGTAAAATAATTTTTTCTTTCAAAATGAGAGATATCTCTCTAGCATAGAGAGATATCTCTTTAGCTTATGGAGATATCTCTTTAGCTTATAGAGATATCTCTTTGACTAATAGAGATATCTTTAGACTTAAGAGAGATATCTCTTTCAACAAAAGAGATATCTCTTTTTGAAAGAGAGATATCTCTTTTAGTAAGAGAGATATCTTTATAAGCTAGAGAGATATCTCTTTAAGCGAAAGAGATATCTCTTAAAGTTAGAGAGATATCTCTTTAACACGTTTAAAAGAGATATCTCTCTTAATTAGAGAGATATCTCTTTAGATTTTCAAAAAGAGATATCTTTCTAAGCTAAAGAGATATCTCTTTTAATGAAAGAGATATCTCTTTTCCAATCACCCTTAAAATAAAATAACTAATTCTCCCGTTAAAAACGAAAGCGAAACAGGAAGTAATGTCTGTTAAGTCGTTCGTTTTCTGGTTATTGAAAAGAAGAGGATAAAATGGACTAGCCTGTTTCCCTGGCCTTCCCATAATGCTGCGCAAACGTTTGCGCAGCATTATGGGAAGGCCAGGGAAACAGGCTAAAAATGGACTGATTGATACAGGTAAATAACGTTTAATTGCTTTATTGTTTTAAGCGAAAGTAACAGGATTTCAAACCAAAACGTCCCCCAAAGATTGGTTCCATATTATATTTATTTCATTTATTTAGCTCACAGGACAGCTGAGCAGGGGATATAGAAAGCAAAGTCAATAAAAACAAATTCGAAATACATGTACCCAATTTCATCGATCACGGGAATACAGGGTTAAACATAATCCTGATAGAATCCATGTTCTTTTTTAATTAATTAATAATCCAAAAATAAACACGTCCAACATTACTTCTTTCATGTACACAGGGATGTATATATTCAATTTCAATATTAACTGTAGGACGTTAAACAACATACATGTACGATCAATATATTAACTGTAAAGCCTTATGACCCCCTTCCCAAACACAGGCACCTGAAGTATGGATAATACCCCCCCTTTTTTTCCCAAACACAGGCACCTGAAGTATGGATAATACCCCCCCCCCTTTTTTTTAAAATTTTTTTAAATCTAAAATAACAGGTGCCCGTGTTCCCAAATACTCTAACAATTATGAAAAAGACATTTTATTTTCTTAAAATAGGCATTAGAAATAGGAATTTTCTTATTTATCTTAGCTAGAACAATCCCCAATTTATCCAATGGTGTCGCCAAACAGGTCTGCACTGGGTCCATAAGACATTCATCATTCAATGGTAGAACATTTTATCTACATTTGTCATTATATTTTACAGGGATCCAGGAGGTACTGAAAAAAGGGACAATGCTTAGACTGATTGTGTCATCCATGTACCAATATAGACCTGTTAATGAGGCATATCCAATAATTCTTATACTCATGAAGAGTGTGGCAACTCCCAAGTAGTTATGCTGGCACTCATTTTAAATCAGGTACAGGATAAATTTTTGGGCTGCACTTCAATATTTCAAACTTACTAGTTAATTATCAAGTCCACAAAAGCTCAAACACCATGGTAAATCAATGGACCATAATGATAGTTAAATTTGTCATATGCTTTCTTATTAAATTATCAATTTGAAATTTGATTGGTAAAAAACATTTATTAATAAGTACAATTCTTCTACTGTGTGCCTGTCATTAAATCCCAACAATTGCAAATGCACATCGATAGGTTCTCCATAAAAATTGCTAACTGCGCAGAATGATTGCACTTTTTTTCAATGAATGACATTTTCTTAACATTTAATCCTTCAGTATAACAAGACAAATATTGCATGCTTATTATATTATGTTATAAATAAACTAAAGAACAAATTTAAGGATTGAAGTTTAATTTGTATATTTGGTAGTTACATGCGTAATTAGTTTTATATATAAAGGATGTACACAAGCATTTCATAACATTGAAAATATTCAAGACAGTATTCACTTAATTTCTTGTAGATCCTCACTTCTAGGATGTTTTCCATGTTCTTGTGAAAAGTGTTTTACATGGCACCATTCAGCTACAAATACTTTGCCGGTGGAACTGTGACATCAATCAACTGCTCATGCCACTACTAATTGGCAGAATTTCCTTTCGGACAAGCAAACTGTTTCAAATATTTTACACCTGCAAGTTAGTACTTATGAAATTTTGTTTGAAGGAAGCTAAAAGCTAATGAGTACTGAAAATACAAGCCAGATGAAGTACAAAAGTGTTGATACAAGTCATTTAGAATTTTTAATTCTTTGCAGGTAGTGATGAGTGTACTGGAAGTTTTTTCAGGGTCTTGTCTGACATCATAGGTACAACTGGTCACTGTGCTTTCTTGGTTATATAAGCAGGCATATTGTTAAAGCGGTGACATATGTAGCTTCAAATGATGCTTGACTGTTAAAGTGTTTTTCTTCAATTTATAAGTAAACCTGGATTGATCTCTGAGGCAGTAATATAGAGCCATGTCCATTCTTTAATATTCCATCATCCTACTGTCGTAAAGTACTGAAATAAAAATGATTTTGATTGTAAAAATTTTTGGTTTTTATATGTAACATAAAATTCGACAGAAATTCAAATATTAAAACTACTTCAAAACAAGATGTGTTTGTGAAACACTATGCACCAGGTGGCAACAAATTCAAACAAGTTTTTTTAAGCATATAGGTCACAGTCAAGGTCACAAGGTCATTGGCCTTGGTGTCATTTGAAAGAACTTAATTAGTGGAGTATGCAAATCAAATATGAAGTCTCTTATCTTTAACGGTACAAAAGGTATGGCGAAAGTTCAAAATGGTATTTATAGCATTAAAGTCACAGTAAAGGTCAAAAGTTCACTGGCCTTGGTGTCATTTGAAAGAGCATAATTAGTGAAGAAGGCATTCCAAATATGATTTCTTTATCTTTATTGTATCAAAAGTTATGGCGAAAGTTCAAAAAAGCTATTTTTAGCATATAGGTCACAGTCAAGGTCACAAGGTCATTGACCTTGGTGTCTTTTGAAAGAATTCAATTAGTGGAGTAGGCATATTAAATATGAAGTCTGTATCTCTCATGGTTCAAAAGTTGTGGTGGAGGTTAAAGTTGACAACAAACAATAGACATAGAAACAGGATATAAACAATAGACAATAATTCACTTATTTTATGATTGTGTATATAAATGTGACTGAATTTTGGAATCAATTTGTATAATGGTTTAGTGTCATTGAAAAAGATTACAAAATATCCAAAAGAACTGTTTTACTTGGTAATATAGAAGGAATTAAGTTGTTTAGAAAATTTTCTTTTATTAGTTGCAAAAAATTTTATTTACTATTCAAGATCACAAGATAGTAAGCCATTATTTATTGATGCAGTAAAGTTATTTAAGTATTACAGAAACATAGAAAATTGTGGTGAAAAAGTTTTTCAATGTAAGGACAAAATACTCAGTTAATGGGTCCTGTATGATAATGTGTACAACAAGTGATGAACAAAAATCAAAATTGTATTTTTTTGTTAATTTATATCTACACATTTTGGTACATCTGTTTTGTTTTTGGATAAATTGTATGTTTAACTGTCATATGTTTACATATATGTACATGTACATTTATTATGCCCCCCTTCGAAGAAAGGAGGGCATATTGCTTTGCTGCTGTCTGTCAGTCAATTTAGTTTCCATTTATTTTCTTCACGTCCATTGCACTGAAATGAAATTTGGTATACAGCCTTACTGGTATATCAGTTGAATATCTAGGTCAAGTTATCATCGCGCCATTTTTGACAGAGTTATGCCCCTTGGATTTAGAAAAATTCCAATTACTTGCAGTTTCCGTTCATTTCCTTTGCAGAGGTTGCACATAGTGAAATGCAATTTAGTATACAGATTTATCAGATGAATATCTAGGTCAAGTTCTCTTTTGGGTATGCTCGCACCATTTTTGACAGAGTTATGCCTTTTTGGACTTAGATAAAAAATTCCAATGTGGTGGGAGGGGGGCATAAGTATTTTACAAAAATCTCATTATTTTTAAGTTTAGAAAGTGCACTGTGTGAGTGTGTGCAATTGTGGTGGTGAGTGGGTGAAAATTGTCTTGTGTTTGTACAGTGTATATATGGATATGGAAAATGCTTCAAAATAAAGCATTTAAAAAAAAGTTTTGGAAAGTATGGCAATCATATACCAGTACTCAGATATGCTTATAGGGACACTTACCTTTAATAATGTCATGACAGGTGAGGCACATGGCTGGTCTTCATGCTGGATCAGTTCTTAATTAAAACCATCCAGTATTGTCCTAAGATTGCCAGATGTACAGACGAAACCTGTAATTTAGCAAGCTTCTGTAACATGCCATTTGAATTATTACATAGGCCATAGTTGTATGTGCAGCTGATAATAATGTAGGACTAAGGTGCCTGACAAATAATGAGTTATAAATCTTACAAATATCCATTTATTTGATACAAATCTTAACTTTCTTCATTATATTTTATCAATGATTTTACAAGAAAATTAGAATAAAAATTGTCCTTTTTATACATAAAAAATATTTTCATTTAAAATTTTTCATTTAAAAATATTTGTTGCATTTTCATATTTAGGGTACCCTTCCTAGGCCAACAATAAAAAAATGATTTGTTTGATGTACTCTGACCGACCTGTTAAAATAGCCCCTACCCATTTGCATTCATTTTTTGGGGGCACTTAAAATTTTTTACCCCCCCCCCCCCTTAATTTCCATAGATGTTTTAAAGATAAGGTATCATATTTTTTAGGATGCTTTTTAATTTATAAATACAAAGTCATTCTAACTAAATGAAAACATTAACAGATTTCTGAGTCTGTGGTTTTAAATATGACAGTTATCAATTTATTCAATGCTGTAAGGCATAAAAAAAAAACTAGAAATATGTCGACAGGACAGGAATGCCCGCCGAGGGTATATTAGTCATGCAAAATGAAAATTCGAATGAAATTTGATCAGAATATCTTGAAAAATGTTACAGTTGAATTGCTTACATCAGTATGTATCAGCATATGAAGTTTGACACTAATTTCAGAGATGTGAGGTCAAGGTCATGTTGATGCTGTTGAATTGCTTACATCAGAATGTATCACCATATGAAGTTTGACACTAATTTAGGAAAATTGAGGTCAAGGTCAAAAGAAAGGCAAAGGTCAAAAAAAATGTTTGTTTCAGTTGAGAAGCTCCCATCAGTATGGTAAGTTTGATACAGTAAATCTTGTTTAGTACGAACACGAATATTGTGAATTCACGGGTATAGCAAAGTCATCTTGGATTCCCAGCTATAAAATTTCAATGAATTTCTTATACGACTCAGGGATTTTCCACTTACTTTTGGGAATGAGGCCCAGGCCCTTGGATTGGGAATTTTACGACATTTTATCACTTACTGGGAAATATCGTATGATGTTTTTCAAGAAATAAATGCTTAGATGAATAAAAATTGATCTTTTACTTAGCTATTCAGAACTATGAATTGGAGAATGATCATTATAATAAAGTTTTACCCAAGATTCTTCAAAATTTTGTTCATTTCATTCAAATTTCCAAACCTAAACATGTTTGTATTTTGTGAATTATGTTAAGGTTACCTTCTTGAGTTCTTCTTCTTTCAAAAATTGAATATAGGCAGTTCATTTTTGGGAAAAAGGGAGGAGTTTTGCAATTGGGAATGGGGCCCATATTCGGCCCTACACGGGGTAGTGGAAAATCCCTGCGATTATAATGAATATAGCAAAGTAATTTCATATGTAGCAGCAACTTCGTTATAACCGAGTTTTGCTGTAACACCATCTTGAATGGTATGTTTAAAACTGAGCTGAGGCCATAATAAATAAATTGCTAGATTCTCATCCGAATTTTTCTAAAAATCGAGGCGGGCGGGCGGCTTTTATTTTATATTTTTTCAATTTTGCTGATTTCTTATTGACCTGGTCAATCGGTGTATTTTCATCTACAATACCCGAATAAAAATCATAGTAAAGGTTCAATTATCTCTTACTTCACATCATCACCAATCTTTTTCAACCAATGACCCTTGTTTAAAATATATACGCATGTATTACAGCAATTACTATCTTTTCAGCTGTCAAAATCCTGTCGACTTTCGCGGGATTTAAAACGAAAGTAGAATGGTAGATGAATATCGATCCCGATCAGAATTAAGACGAAGAAAAACAGAAATAAAAAAAATTGAGGCGGGGGTAAAAAATCGGGGCGGGCGGGGATGAGAATCTAGGAATATTTTTATTATGGCCTAAACGCTAATTCAAGAAAAGTGAGGTCAAGGTCAAAGGAAAGGTAAAGGACAAAAAATGTTGATGCAGTTGCATAGCTCTTATCAATATCTATTAGCAAAGTTTGATAAAATATCCTGTATAGTTTCTTTGAAACTGGGCTTTGAACTTAGCTAAACGCAAAGTGTGACGCATGGACAGAAAGATGGAAGACAGACATGACAAACACTATATGCCCAGGCCATAATCATGGTGGGGCATAAAAAAACTACCGGTACCTACCGACCTACCTACCAACCTTGATAAAAGTGGGTAGGAGTACATCAAACAAAAATATTTTTAAAGCTGGCCAGTTGTTGACTAGTATATATTAGTCATTTTGATATGCTATGTCTTATAAAAAATAAATTTTATATTTGTCTTAGAACTTATTTTGTTGCATCAGTTTCATACCTGTATTTGATTTGCATTGTTTTGGATGCTGATAATTCAAAGTCATGATCAGTATAGTCTTAGGTGCTGCTGACTTTGGATCTCTTAGGAACTGCATATTTTATCTGTGTTACTGGTTCTCTTGTACCTCTGCTATAAAATAAGTTTTAGTGTATACAGTTGTGTAATATCAGTGAATAAATTGAACAGACAGATTGATTGTATATTGTCTATCGTTCCTCTCAAGAATTTTTCACTCATATGGAAACGACAGTGGAGAGCTGCAAATTTTGTCCTAATGACCTAATACTCAGCACTCAGGGCCATTGACTGATTGAGCAGGAAGGGATCTTTTTTTTTTTGCCAACACCTGACCTACTGCAGCAAGGGGCCACAGTTATACTGTATCATCCCAAGGACAGGTCTCCACATCTCACAGTGGGATTCAAACTCATGATGTAAGGATCAACACCTTATTTCGCGACTCTACTAGAGCAGACACTCTAACCACTGTGCCATGCAGGCAAATTTGAACAGACAGAAAAATTTACCAAAATCCATAAACCATGTTCTATAAACAGGAAACATACTCTCTAAAGTGAGAAATATGGTCATCTAAATTTTATTTTATGCAGAGAGATGCATGGCAAAATATATGAACATCTTATCCTTGTGAAATGGATCTAAATTGCTACAAACATTTAATGCTCAAAAAATAATCCACTGAAACAAATTAGGTTAAAATTAACTGAAAAAAAAGTATATTAAAAAATTACCCTAACAAAAATGATGCAGCCACAATATCATAATTTATGATGAATATGACGTTGGTACCCATCAATGACAAACTCCTCCTCTATAATCAGCTGATAAATAACATCTCGGATTCAAGAGAAATCTGTTAAAAAATTAAGTTAAAAGATAATTTCGAAACTATTTCATTCGGTTAAGAATAAAACACTTCATTTTCCCTCAAAATAAACAAGATACGGATGACACTCTCTGATTTGTTTACCTGTATTTCGATCGGTTAATTCCTGGTGGACGCTCGCACCCAATTTCTTATGCCATGAAATTCATACATCGTAAGTCGGACAACCCTTCGGCTTTGTAAAACTATTTAATTTCCCCCTGAAAGCTGTGTGTAACCCAGAAACATGCTGAACTCAATAGTACACATTCACCCTGTGCGAGGAAGTGAATATTATCGTAAAATCTCGCGAGTCACGTGACGAGACTTACAGACTCTGGACCGAATTTTCTCAGCTTTTGAAATAATGAATAAAAAGTTTACTTCCGGTAAAGGGAGAAGTCATTTCAAATGGAATTTAAATAAACATAATGAAGAGAGATATCTCTTTGCAATTAAGATGCAACCTATCAGACATTATTTTACAAAACCATAGTGCTCATTTAAAACAAAGAAATATAGAGAAAACGAACAGTTTTCAACCTTAAAGTTTTGTCAATTGTTAATCAGAAACTCAAGTATCTTTTAATATGAACTTCAGAGTACTTGTGTTTATAATCAGAATATTTCAATAAATATAATTTTGCAAATAACTTATGACCAAAGTAAATAATTTACGAGTACAAATTTTATTGAAAAAGAAGCTGTCAGTGATGTTGCAAAGTCTTGACTATAACTGTAGTAAGGAATGGTTGTATTATTAGTTATCCAGGTTCAATCAAGGGTGTACGGGGATTTACCCCGGGTTGTATTCCATACGTGTATGGAATACAACCCGGGGTAAATAACCGTACACCCTTGATTGGACCTGGATAACGAATTTATTTCCTTTGTACCCATAAAAATGCTTTGTAAACATGATTTTTAGCTTTTATCATAGAGAATGTATACATTGTGACGTCACGTTTTATTTACACCCGGCTCAAGTCGGGTGCACGGATATTTACACCCGACTTTGTAACCAATCAAAGCTCGTGTTACAAGCTAGATAGGAAATAAAGAGTTTTATGCTTATTTTATTGGTAAAATTTTGTGATTTCAAATTTTCCAAATGCTCCTTGGAATTTTTAAGTATCCACTTCTGATTTACAACATTTCTCACCTATACCTGTTGAACAATACCCTTGAAGTTCCTCCTTCACTACTGTTAATATTTTACATGTAAAGAGTAGTAAAAAAAGAAGATTGAAAGAACATTTACTGGAACCCGCTATGTATCTTTGTTTGTAAGGATTTTTATGATGTTTCAAAATCCAGTAGAGATCTGGTAAATCAAATTCATTTTGGTCGGAAGAAATATTTAAAATATTCAAAAATGACGTTTGCTTTTGAAGAATTTTCCCCCTAGAAAGGTACTATTGTTGGTATAAGTTTTAGTTTCTGATATTTAATCCATTTTGATAATTATCAGTGACAGGGAAAGTAAAATACTGAATTCCAATTTTATTGAAAAGCAGTTGTCGGTGATGTCAAAAGCCATGGAATTGATTTTTTCGATGGAAATGGTTGCAGCAAGTTTTAAAAAGTTATACAGTTTGACTCTAACTATTAATAGTCTCTCTAAAATTAAATGAACCAACAATAAAATGTAATTGAAAGCTAAGTTTTGCATTTTATGTCCGAGACCGAGAAGGGTTTCTCAATGAATCATTCCTATTTTTGTATGTATATTTTATATAAATAGTATTTGAGAAGTTTACTACTTAAACGCTTATTAAATGTCGTTATCTTCTTTTTTTCTATTTTCATTAACATATTCAAGTTCAGTTTTTATGCTCTTCAATTCTAATGCACGTGATGATAATGTGTCTAAATTATTTCTTTGATGGTGTTAGTCCTTAATTATGTTAACTTTTCATTATACACTACCGTGTTGTACTTTTATTGACAATACCTGAAGATTGTGTCTTATTTATTTTATTGCAAGAAGTCCTAATTTACATACATAAAAGTGTGCAGAAAAAATGTAAGTTTAGCAGAAATTAAAAAAAATCTTCTCTGGCTACATAAGGCGTAAATGAAATTTTAAATGATTTTTACGCTTTTTGTCATTTCATATAAGAATGGAATAGGGCTGAAACATGTCAGTTTAACACAATGTCAAAATGAAGCAAAGCTTGGGACTTCTCTGTTTCATAATAACACAGTTCAACAAGATCAATTTCTTCTAGACAACAATCTTAAAAGAGAACTTTTACAAAGACATTACAGCAGTTGACAAGTTATGAGAGGAAGATGTAAATACGGCCCTAATTAATTATGCTGAAGGTCCATTCATTTTAAGTGTACAAAGGAAATTCAGATCAAGTGCTTATTTACCACAAAGAGATTAGAAGTAAAGAGATTACGTAAAAGATTAAAATGTTTGATAGAAATTTTTTGGTGCTAAGGTAAGACTTCTTATATATTTTACTTTTTATTTAACAAATATTACGTTTATGATAATATTTAAAAAAAAAAAGATTATGATTTATGTACTAAATCTAACTTATATAATTTTTCCGAATTGTTTTTGTTCACTATTCGGAGTAAAACTGAAAGAAGAAAAGCATTTTGTAAGAATTTCAGATTTTTTCCCACTCTTTTCTATAAGACAGCAATAAAAATATATAATGCAATTATTTTGTTACGGTATCATAATGTAGTCTACTTGTGTACCAGCAGCTTTTGAAGTTGATTCAATCCTGTCAAAAAAAGAAGTTTTTCAAACAATCAAAAAGCTGTTGTAGCATTTAGGCTATAATCTTTAATCAGTAGAGAAACAATAAATAACAAAAGATAGTCTCTGTGTAGGCTGGTTCATTATGCATGTCACAAATTACCATCAAAATCCTTTTTTTTCCAACGAAAAACTTTTCTTTGGTTTTCATCCTACTCTGACTTCGATTTTGTGGTTGTCTGACAAATTCTTATTTTTGCATTCAAATAGGGTGTTTTTGTTTCTGACAATTCTTCTGATCAAGACCTCGAATTGTCAAAAGCTGTGGAATTCCGGGACAGAGGGGAGCCTGACTACAAATGTTGATTTCCCACGCAGAGCGCTAGAACCTGGAGGAGGGATGAGCCATTCCGTGGACCACAATTCGGAATCCGATTATACCACAACGCCAGATACGAGACACAACGTTTTTACCACATCTGCACATTTGGGACATAGTCGAAGGCATTATTCTATTTACCCGTTTTCTGGGTCTCGGAATAAAAATCCAGACGTTGTAGTTGCTAATCTCCCTTCGTCGTCCAGAAGGTCTTCACAACCAAAACATGCAGGAATCCTCAATCAGTCCAACATCAACTCTAGTCACCAGAGACCAAGACTTCCAGGTAACAAAAGTACAAATGGCAGATGGGTGGTGATAAATCAAGGGGGCCAAATACAACCCAAGAAAAATGACGGGATTAGTAAAAATGTCAATCAATTCTTTAGACACAATCGGAATAGTGTGACAATGATCAAGCCTTTCCAAAGGGGATTTTTAAGAAAACAAAATCAGCCACCAAGAACATTGAACAACATGCACGTACATGTACAAGCACCAAGTCCTTACAAGAACATTAACAACATACAGCAAAGAAGCAATTCCCAAAATAATGGCTTTCATTCCAGTGGACGAATACAAAATGTGATTGCTCCATATGATAAGATACAGTCCGGCTTGACAAGTATTAAAAAGGAGGTCCACATTCAGCGAGGAATGATCGCACTTCTGCAAAATTCTGTACTCAAAATGAAGCATATATTTTCTTCGATGCAAGAAGATATACAAAAAGTGGCTCACTCTATTGATGTTTTGGTGAAAATGCAATAATTAAGATCTGATTTTTTTTAAAAACTTTATTTCAGTTAAGGATACAATTCTCTTTAATTACTTCTAAAAGAGAGTCAGGCGATTAGATTCTACTGAGTATTTTTCATCAACATATTCCAGAATTGACTATTAAATGTTTGAATTCTTATATCAATTCTTATCTTTAAATAGGCATTTTATTGTTATGAAAAAAGATAGTGTGTAACGAATGCTTTGCCTTATTTATGGAAATTTTGCATAAAAGTTATAATAACGGTGAAAATAAGCACAATTAAATTATTTCTTAAAATTTAAAATTAAATCTACTGATGCCTTTTGGAAATTTTTTATGTGTGATTTAATTTCACTGACTACACCTTTAATTCTATTTTCTGCTTAAACTTTTTAAGACAATGATATTTTATGTGAAATGGGGATCCGACAGTATGTCTTTATCGGAGGTGTACCAACCAATGGCGATCATTAAATAAACTGCTGTCTTTATTTATATACTATGAGATGTAAAATTATGATGGAATAATGTTAATTACTATATAAAAATGCTAGCAATTATAATTTCTATTAAGCTATAATGCACAATGGCAAGAAATCTCGTGAGCGACTGCATACCAGATAATAAAAGTCACATTTTTAATACCAGTAATTAATTTTGAAATGAACTAAGGACAAAGACAAAAAGTACTTTAATTGATTTGCTTTATAGAGTAAAACATTTGTAATAATATGTCCAGTATCAGTTGTGAGTATTTTTTTGTTTGTGATCATGTTTTAACACTGATTTCATGTTTTTTCTTCAGTATCAGTTTTTAGCATTTTTGTTTGTTTCTGTTTTTACAATTTTATTTAGTATTAGTCATAAGTATTATTGTCTTTTTTCTGTTTCAGTCATTGCTGTAAATTATTTTTCATTTTTAATTAAATATGTATAAAATATAAATAAAACAATTATCTCGTTTTCTTTTTTGTATGTGTAAATAGCTAACTGATGAAGATATAATGACTGGTAAAAATACATCATACATGTATTAAACCTGTCTAATTAGTCAAAAATATTAACTATTTTAATAAATAGAGTAACAGAGAAAGACATTGTGTACATAATGTATCTTACATGTATTTGTCAAGAAAGGATGGAACTTAATTTTGTGGGATGGGAAAAGGGTCCAGAACGGATGGATATTCGATTTAGCACCCTTACTCTGTGAGGTTTGACTTTGGGTCAATGTTATGGCACATCTTTAAGTCAGGGCTTAAATTTTGATCAGTAATAGGTAAGGGTTTTGAATGCACAATCTGAAAAAAATATTTTTACAACAATAATTACAAAACAGTTATGCATTTTCACTTAATAAAGAGACTTAATCCAAGTCATAGAATACAACTGCATTTAAAAAAATACAAAACCAAATAAGGTATTGTGTATGTAAAAGTGAAAAAAGTTCATTACAACCAAAACTTTTCCAATTAATGCAGCAATTCAGACCGCAAATCGTTGAATTGCTCATATCTTAAAATGTTGATTAAGGAATCAGAAATTAAATAAACATTGCATGACTGTTTCTTTCAATCGTGTCAGTACTCCCACATTTCACCTGATTTACAATAGAAACTATTCTCTACTTTTTAATTTATTTCATGAAAATAATTTTAAAATTGATTTGAAAAATATGAAAAGAATGGATCTATTTAAGTAATATCAATTCATCTGCAGACCAAATTTTGTATTCGTGTGAATCAGAATTATTCATAAACTTCGGTCATTTCAAGTTTTTTCTCTGTTCACCTTGTTCGTACGCTTCATTTTTTCTATCCTAAATTTCTCTTACGTATGTAGCAATATATTATCACACGTGGACGGGATATATATCTTTCAGTTAATTCGATACGAAAGATCTAGAGCATGCTCTTCGTACGAACAATTTTTTAAACGAGGCAGGCAAGCAATTGGCAAGCAAGTTGATGAGCAAGAGTATTAAAAGTCTCTTTAAAATCATCATTTCGCAAATTCTATTGTCCATACAATGACCTGACTGACAATTTCATACTAATTGTTGGGTCATTATTCACACACTGAATGGTCCACGGGGTTTTCCGTTTTCCCGATCATGACAAGGAGCAGAGAGCTGGTATTACCGGTGACCACGAGATGATTACTCCTCCTTGGTACCTGATCCATGTTTTAGAGGTCCATGTTTGCTCTGCACCCGTTTTGTATGCTTTCAATGGACTTTGAGTTTAATGTTCGTCATCTCCATATTTCTTTTCATTGGAGTTCTGAGCTTGATTCCTATTTGTTATCTCCATTTGTTATGAAAAAAGCAGTTTTTTCGCTGAGGCAATCAACCTACTAGAACAAGTAAATCAATATATATTTTTCTCACTTTAAAAAAAAATAAAAACCATCCAATTATTGCAAGGGTTTCACAGGTCTGGAATCGACGACGGGCTGAAATTAATTGCTTTAGGTAAAATGCTTTAATAATTTTTTTTACAACCCAGAAAAAAATTCATTCTTAAAATGTTATTTCTATTCTTACCAACAAATGACAGACTGAAACATAATTTTTATCCTTAAGATTAAATGTTTCAATGTCTTCTGAAAACAGTATTATCTAAAAAGTTAAATACAATGTCTCATGCATATCATAAAATAACATTTATTCAGAAAAATCAGACCATGTCACCCACTTTAATGTGAGTGCAAACTTATCAGGCCATAAATTGTATGTTCCTTCATGTTAATGTTCATTTCTTTAAACGTCATCTTGAAAGACCGTGTTTTGAAGGGACAAGTCAATCTCTACAGCTAATTAAACTCATTAAAGAACAAGGTTCACTTTTGCCTTATTTGGCCCTGTGAATTTCTGAAAAACTGAAACCACATAGTTTTTGTTAACAATGCATTGAATATCACTTAGATCTTTGGTGATTGCTTATCTATCAAAAATGACGTAATTTTCTGGCTAGTCAATGCATTATGACGTCACAAAATGCGTCAATTTCCTCATATTCTGAAAAGTCCACAAAATCGGCCAATGTTTAAAGTATTTTTCGATATTTAATATAGAGCGCAATCTCTGATCTAAAATATGCAACTAGTAAATGATAGAACTGTTTCTAAGGATTAAAAGACATGGTTTATTTTTTAGATCAGAGAGTGCGCTCATATTATTTTTCTTCTCTGAAATTACTCAATTATACCTGTTTACCTACAAATTCAAGAACCTTGCTATTTCATAAAGCCAGTTCTCCGAGACCTGGACGTTTAGGAGAAAATTTCAAATAGGATATAAAAACACGAAGTCTCTATTTTATTTTAATGCTTCAAATGAACAATCAAGTATACATAAAAAGAACCGACTTCTTATGCATAAGATAAAGGATATATTTTTCTAGTCATAGTGTAAAGTATTAAGAAAACAAAGGGTTATCAAACACAAAGTCCTTTGGAACAATTTTAATTGGGAGTAGAGGAAAGACGAACCTCTAAAAGTATTATTGGTAGGATCACGTGCTATAGTTGCGTAAACATCCCCTCTCGGCCTGTCCTATAAGCCATATCCCCCTTGTCATGATCAGTTTAACAAAACTTTATCTTAAATAGTTGATATTAAAATGATACTTGAATTTCTGATTGACGATATCTTTGAAATGTATGGAAAAAAAGTATCGTCTTCCAACAATCTGTGGGAATTTCCATGGAAACCACTGGAACCACGTTATAAGTTGAGAAGACTTTTTGAATTCATATGAAGCAAAAGTAATTCAAAACTTTCACATTAAGAGATGTTTCTCTCTATAGCCTTCAATTCAACATTCAGATATATTGACAATGTATGTATTATTAATTTACAATGTCGACACGATATATTACTTTGATCTTGAGATAAAAGAAGAACAAACCTTTCTGATAAACGTGATGACTTCAATTCCCTTATTTAGTTAGCAATATACTATTATTACCTGCACATAGAGGTAATGAGATTTTCAGCAAGTACAATTTTATCATGAAGTCGAATGTTGTTGATGTCTTTCAACCAATAGTTAGACCATTATCTTACTCACTGTTATTTTTTTTCTCTTTTTTAGTAGAGAAATTGCTTTTAATTTTTCAATTAATGGTTTAATGTCTACGAAACATAATTACATTTTAATTATTATTTCATATTTTTTCATGCTCATGCAGCCATTCTCTTTTATTTCATTTGTATATACACTAGCAAAGCAAAAGTTGAACATAATGTCCTAACGCAGTGTTAATTATTGTGATATAATGCACATACATTGTCCCAATCAGTCAAAAACTGAGGTAAAAAAAAAGTCACAAGTTTCGCGTATAAACCTGCTTAAACATCCAAATACATGACTTTTGGAAATCGAAAATTAATCGAAACATTACTGAGGTTCATATCCTAAGACATATTTGCATTGAAAGGTTATTGTAATAATTACCCTTAATCATGATCACGAATACATTACATAATTAATATAAATACACCTCTACAGTAAATTTGTGTCATTTATCAAAAGTTATAAAATAATTAAGCTTTATTGCTCTAACCTTTCATTTTCTGTTTTTTTTTAAGCTAAATGCATACATTTACCTTAAAGATATTTAAGGCAATCATTCAACTCCTGATACCGGTAACAAATGCTAGAACTAAATGCGATTTTAAATTTACTAAATTTTCTAAAGGACATATGCTAGAACTTCACAATCAGCGTTGCAAACACAAAGGATATCAATTAAGCTGGGTAGATTACATTACTATAAACGTATTCTTTAATGTAAACTAGATATTTTTGTATTTTTTTGTATTTTATTTGAACCGGAGACATTACATCTCATAGGTATACAATATTCATACATAAGATTTGTACAGGCTATACAATATACATGTATTAATTGCATAACAATATCATTTAATTATTATTTAGAACATAATTTCTTAATTGATGAGAAAAATACAAAAATTTGCCCAGGTTACATAGTTCTTAAGTATTTGTAGAAC